CATTTTGTCAGTTTCAGTCAGATTCTTACGAAATTCGAACTCAACTTTCACTGATGTGTAACGGTGATATATTTAAAAGAAAATTTAAAATTGAATACAAATTGTGACTTCTAGCGGGCCCACAAGCTAAAAATGTGATATTTTGAATAATCAGGGGTCATAATACAAGAAGTTACGTTCGGATATGCGCGATTATCGAAAAAGCGGTTTGGTGAAAACATTGATACGTGAGTGAGAGGATTTTAAATTTCACAATGAGCCTCCACTGGGAGCCAGTAAAGCGTTCGGACCTCTACTGGGAGCCAGTAACGCTCTCTAGGCGCTGGAGTTATATGCGCAGATTTCTAGTTTTAGTCACCATTCTTGCTGCTGTGTTCATAGCCCGTTGCAGTCTGTTGATTTCTTCTTTGGATAAATTACCCAACAGACTGTTACAATAATCTAATCTTGAGAGCACAGGGAATCGCACAATGTGATGAGCAACATCTCTTGAGATCAGATTTCTTATGGATTCTATGTTACTGAGGTGAAAGTACGATTAATGTTAGTTATATATGTTGTTCCATTGAAAAATTCGAATCGTGAGTTTTCACATTTTTTGAGAAATCGATCTGTGATTCTCCGATACGGATAGATGAATGGTGAACATTCGCCATTTTACTATTAGTTCCAACTAACAAGGCTTCAGTTTTTGAGGCGATGAATTTTAGCGTATGAGTCATCATCCATGTTTTGACAATCTGACAGTTTTCAATATAAGTTACTGTTATGGCGGAGTTATTGAGTTCAAAATGACGAAGGAGCTGCGTATCATCAGCGTAGAAGTGATGAAAGAGATCGTTATCAGAGAGGATTTTACCAAGTTTTCTGGTGTACAGAGTGAATAACACATGGTCAAGAACCGATCCTTGTGGTACACATTGATATAGAACTGATTTATCAGAGGAAACACTATTAACATGAACAGATTGTACATGCCAAAGTCATGCGATAAAGACTGTATTAGTTGGCAATGATCGATTGTATCGTACGCAGTCGATAAATCGAGTAGTATGAGCAGACTGACCTCACCACTGTCAGCAGATATCCGAAGTTCGTTACAGACACGTAAAAGTGCAATTTCGGTGCTATGACCAGGCCTATAAGCAATGAAATGAATGTGGTTTTATGGCACGTCAGCTCCAACCGGGATCTATTGCGCCAAAGGGCCTATACGCGGATTGTAGTAATCTATCCAGTCATGAATATCTTGAAAGGTGCGACGAAAGACGGACTTTTATTGCCTTTTCCAACACTTTCGACAAAAAGGAAAGATTTGAAACGGGTCGATAATTGCTAAATTGGTTGGCATCAAGATTGGACTTTGTGATAAAGGGCTTCACAACTGCCGCCTTCCAGATTTTAGGAAATGTGCCAGATTCAAACCTTAGATTTATAATCCGTTTAATCACAGGTATTAGAGTTTCTAAATGTAACAGCAGAATTTTAGTGGACACAGGGTCCAACGCACATGTCGCTGGTTTGCTTCCCGAGATTAATTCCTTGATTTCTTCTTCGGTGAACGAGTTGAAAGTATTGGTCAATGTTTCATAATCGTCACGTTCGGGCATATTGTTTGTTTGTTTTTTTCCCATGAGAGAAAATACAAAATCAAACAAAAATTTGGGTGAGTTTGGGTTTTCTGCAATTTTTGAAATAGAATACTCTGATTTAGCTTTACGAATAACTGATGTGATGTGGGATTTAGCATGGTTAAAAATTGGTCGATGTATTTCTAATTTAGAGTGCCTCCACTATCGTTCAGCAACGCGTCTCTTGTTTTTGGCTCGGTGTACATCCTCATTATACCAGGGCGAATTCTTTTTACAAGAGACAGTCTTGGTAGTGCTTGGAACATGTTTATTTAAAAAGTTCGAATAGTGTGTCATTATAGACTTCACAAAGAACATCAAGGTCGTTAGGAGAATCACAAATGAGAGGGGACTTTTTAAGATCTAAATCAAAGGAACTGTGGTCGTTATTTCGTGTTTTAGTGGTGGTGGAGGTAGCGCGTCAATAGAAAAGTTAAGCCGGTCGAGAACTGTTAAGTTACTGATCAACTTATGTCGTAAATTCCGCTCCACAAGTTTTGGATTGCAGCTTCGAACTATTATAATTCTTGATAATAAAAAATCCGTCAAAATTTAAATTATGTAGTATTATTAACTTACCTGCAGTTTGCTAAAGAAAAACAGAATCACAAAGAAACTTGTTCGACAACCCTATAGATTATAATAATATATTTAAAGTAAATGACGTCCTATACTGATTGTGACGTTATCACAAATAACTTAGGTTTCGTACGACGGAATGTTAAAAAGTCCTATACCGTGCAGCGGCTCAGTGTACTAATAACAAATTTATTTGATACAAAGCCACCTCACGTAGTTTTGTCAATTACTCGGGTAATTTGTGGACCTCCGGTAAAGGGAAATATACCTAGCATAGAGCTGTTCAGGTTGGTATTTTGATAATTTGATAACCTTGAAATAGAGCTCTCGTGTAAGGTTTAAAGAGGTTGTATCTAATTATGTTAATAATGGCACTAAACATGGATTACCATGTTAGCTTGTATGAATGCTCTTAAAAAAATAAAAATAAAATAACATACACAAGTGAAAAAGAGCGGTCTCTGGCGTCCAAATTATGACGGACTTTTTCATTTTTATCCTTATAATGGTGTCATTAAAAGCATTACAGATTAGGTTTGTTGTAGATTAAGTAAGGGGCGTATTGCTTTGAAAAGGGGTGTCCCGGGTTTGACAAGTGGGTTTAGGCAGGTAAATAAAGCGAAAATAACTGTGCCAACAGAGCCTATTTACCATGTCTGAAAAATCCAAATCAAAATATTGAGTGGTTCGGAAATGGTTGCTAGATTTGCTAAACGTGATAGCGTAGCACATGTTTAATTTTAAGCGACTTTATGGTAAATTACAGACACGGTTCTCTAGGCACATACAATTTGTGGACTTGCCAAACCTACATGGAAAGTGTGTATTTATTCGAAAAAGTATCACAGATAGTTGCACAATATACCAATTTTCAAGAGTCTTTCAATCCAAATTAATCCAAATTACGAATATGTATGGAACTGCTCCTTTAAAACAATTTATTTTTGGAAAGTACGCCAAAATGTAAAAGGGATCGCGGGCAACAATCTTGGCCATATAAAATCCATCTCCCCATCTAAGAAATTGAGTAAAACAACTTCGCAAAGATTGCACAGATGAATTTATGCAATTACCTTACGGTGATTAACGATGACCGCTTCAGAGTAATGTAAACTTCAAATATTTTTTTTGTCAATATGATTTTGGTAAGAATATTTGCAGTAGGACATCAAATAACACAGATAATTTGACTTTATATGGGTATTGATCCTGCACATTTTGTAGTAAATGGTATCCATCGCAATTACGAATTTGACGTTAAAGAACATGTCTAAAACTAATTTAAAGTGACACTCAATCTGAATATACATTCCGATACATTGATGATGTACTACTGACAAAAGCCACTAATTCCAAATAATACTCTTCAAAAAGAAACTTTTGCATTATAAACTTCATTTGGAGGCAGCCATAACTGTGTGCAGATGTCGCTCGAGTTCCATTTCAATTAATATATCTAATTGTATTGTGTTCTTATATCTGTGTTGTCTACTTGAATGCATGGTCTTAAAATGTATATTATTTGACTTCCATTCTGTCCTGCGAATTGTCCCTTTAAAACAAAATTCTAATCTGCCTTGATTTGACAACCATTGCAGTACAACATGTTCAAGTTACAGACTGTGTACAATTTGGGGTGTTTTGAGTACAAATTAAAGTATATTTAAAAATTAAAAATCAACTTAAGGATTATGTAATCCTAGGTCTGAACAAATACAAGTACATGTATAATAAAAAATATATCAATGTCAATAGAATTTAACCAGTAATCCTCATACGATAAACTATAAGTAGATTACAGTCATTAATATCATCTCTCACTTTCTCGGGGATCACGTGGCTAAGTGGGTAAGAAGCTGGCTCGCTAGCCTGGAGGTCGGGTGTTCGATCCCTGCATTGGCCGAGAAAGTTCATCAAGATTTTCCGGCGTGGTCCCCCCCTTGTCAGTTATGCAGGACGGAGGGCCTGACAAGGACGGTTGTCTAGTCCTTCGGATAATACGAAAAACCGAAGTCCCGTGTATACATTGGAATGCACGTAAAAGATCCCTTGGCAGTTGGAATTCGATATAAGAGTAGGCGATAGTGCCGCTGTCCGGGCAAAATTCCCCTCATCGCACACTGTATGGCGTATGCCCGTCTTCATTAGCCCAGTATAGAAGCAGAACAGTAGGACGTTAAACCGCATTTCATTTCTCTCACTTACTATTGATAACTCTCCCACCCCCACACTGCAGTCTATGGAATTACTACTGATGCTTTACTTATTTGGTCCGGTTTTGTTTTGTTTTGTTTTTTGTTGGTTTTTTTTGGGGGGGGGGGGGCATGTTTTCATATTATAGACTACATGTATATCTATCGGTCAGCTCTCGACAGTAAAGCCCGCAACTGCGCAAAAGGTACAGTCCTTATGACTCACACTGTACGATAGAGCGACTTACCATTGGTAGTAGTTTTACCCTATTTCCCTTTTTTACTTGACGTCCTCCCCAACAACAAACAAAAATAACAAATCTTCTGTGCGGAGTTCTTGGCTCAAATAGAATTCTATTCTTGAAGGTATTCCAGTTTGACACCTGCCTTGCGTACCGAATACGTGGGCAAGCAGCTAGCTTCGCTCGTGTGCAGAGAAATTGGTTGAAAGAATATAAAATAAAACTCGGGGGATTTATTTCTTCACCAACTTAATGTAGAGAGTGGCTGCACGCCATTCTTTTAACAGAGATAATTGTTTCGGAAAGGACGATGGTCGGACAAATAAATTTTGACAATCTGCTAAAAATACACTTACTCAGACATCCTAGGTTGAGGCGTTATTGCTCCAGACATCGTTTATGAGAGATAAGAATACCACTTGAAATTTAAATTCCTAACACAATGTGTTATTTTCGTAGAGCTGTATGAGGTTTTACTGTCTGTTCGTATTATATTCTCACCAATGTCCTATAGTCATATATAATGTAGTTATACAGTAACTGATTTATCAGGATTAACTAAATCCTCAGTGTACAGATTTGTTACTATAGTGACACTCGCATGATTGTATTCGTGGTCGTTATAATGAAGTGGGCGATTACAACGTCGGAATGTGCTTACTCTTTTTTTAAACGATTGATGTGAGAAAAGGTCCTTACTTCGAAAGGGTTATATTTATATTGCGAGTTACCCCAGGTCGGGTTCTAGTAAAAAAAGTAAAGTATAATAACTATGTTTTAGGTATCAAAAGCAAATATTTTTCTTCGCATTCCCAATAGCCTAAATTGAGTTTATTTCAGAATTATTAAAGGGATGCTTCATTTTGACCACTATCGGTTTCGCTGAATTCTATAATTATAAAGGGATCATTACCAATGCGTATATGGGAATTTTTCGTCCCATCCGAAAGAGAGAGATTTTGATTGTCAGATTTGCAGACGTTTTCCCGACATTGAGAAGACAGTTTCAGTGTCATGGATTTTTTTTATCCATTAGTCATCTCTGTTATCGCCCCTGATAATAATTGCCCTTATAGGCTATAGGTAATTGTGACTTTGGCTTTGGTGCTTATAGAATAGTGCCGCCACCGACTATGTTTAAAGGCATATGCTATAGTCATTAATAATTAACTTTTTTTGCATTTATTTCTCGGACTTCTTTTTTAACAGCCGTTTTCCCACTTATTAAAAATGTAGCCTAAATAAATAAAGGGGGTCTGTGCAAATTGGAGTTTAGCTAGTCTCGGTCACCCAGCTTCACCGTGGTTGCTATTAATCATTAGCTCAGTATATCAGTGGTTCTACCACTCGGGCAGAGGGTGGGCCATTTTTAAAATGATTTTTCAGTTTGGAGATTGCGTGTTCAAAATTTGGGAGTCTTATAATATTCCGAATCATCACGATGTGGTTCAGGGGAGAAAACTCCATTTAAGAAATATCTCGGTTGTTTTTCTTTTTCTCTTTTTTTAATCCTTTACAAATAATATTATTTTTCATCATTTAAGATTTTACAAATAAGCTGAATGTTTAAAATTGGTCTTTGTATGTGCATCTTTTGTCAACTTCGTGACATTTACGAAACAAACAGGAAAGCTAGTCATTCATCCGCCATATTGGAATCTTCTTTCATTGTGGAGTGAGAAATTGCATCTACAATAAATTAAATAAATCGAATGGCGGGGCTCCCAAGAAGAATTGTAAAAGTGAATTATCAACCAATTATATTATTATATAGTTTTTAATATTTTTTGTACATATTTCATTATATGCCCCTCTTTATTTGTGAGAATTTTTGTATCGTTATTGAGACAAAATTGCGTTCCGACAATAGACATTTCATTCGGGTTTCTCAGAAGGAAAAGGTCTCTACGGCATCACTTGCTAGACCTTTATTGGCCTAGTATCACGTTCTACTTTATAGTTGGACTGTCATGATACTCGTGATCTATTTATTTATCAGTCATCATGGCTTCGTTACTTGCTGAACTACAAACATGTTTGCTATCTAAAAAAGTAAATAGAAACTAAAGTGCATTGTGGCATGAAAAATATTTTGATGTCTTGAGATTCATTTTATACTAAAAATTTACCGATTAATTCTGATAATTTAACGATGCCCATTGGTTCAGTAATTGCTGAGGGGTCACCGATTACCGAGAACAATGCATTTTTGTAGGCCTACTGTTTCTAAACACTATTGTTTAGAAAATTCTTTATAAGGAAATAAGATTAAGAAAATGCGATCCCATTGAAACTACGTGTCAAATGCTTGAAATTTGTGACTTTACTGAGAAACTGCATCGGTTAATAAACCAATCCTATTTAATGGCAGATAGCAAGAGACCTAACATATGAGCTGTTCAACAGTCTAGAATCTGATTGCTTTCTATATTATATAGATCTCCCCTAATCATTTGAATTATCAATATAAGTGTTCATACATTCAAGTTTTTTTATATTATGTTTATTGCAGGAAACGCAGCGTTTGATGCAGGAACCAGTTCCTGGAATTAGTGCCGTTCCAGATGAAAATAATGCCCGATATTTCCATGTAGTTATTAAAGGACCGTCAGAGGTATAAATAACTTAAGAAAATGACTTGTTTATTCAATATGACATAATTATGTTAAATTTAAACACTGCCATTGGTCAGAGTTGTCAATCTGGTGTTTGTAGAAATGCTTGTGACTCTGGGCAGTATTCAGTTACATGTAACTACCAACTACATCCGACCAACTCAGACAAATCGTCAGATGAACAGCTTGTTGTATGGATAGCACCAGTTCTTTTCTCATCCTACAGACTGATGCAATAGCCAATCAAATTGCGTTATATTAGACAACGTCGTACGTCATATATATCTGACTTGGCAACCAGAATTCCTGCTAATTGTCCCCCACCTTTCAAAAAAAGAAGGGGACTATTAAAATGGGTTCGTCCATCCGTTCGTCTGTCTGTCTGCCTGTCCATCACACCTTTTGGGACACAATAAATCTCCTTCTAATTGAGCTAGAATGTTCAAACCTGGTGTAGATGTTTATTAGGTCAATGCCTTGATGGAGTTTGAAGATGAGCATTTTCTGCTTAGGGTAAGCAGAGATAATCAATTTGATTGGTTGATGCTTTGGGATATAATAACTTTAGTTCTAATGAAACTTGGTGTTTAGTTTCATTACATCAGTACCTTGACTAAGTTTGATAATGAGCATTTTCTGCTCAGGGTGAGCAGAGCGATATTTGATTGGTTGATGCTTTGGGACACAATAACTTTAGTTCTAATTAAAGATACATTATGGGAGATTAGATAGAGAGCTGGCAGTTCTCACTGTAGTTAAAAACTAGATAATGTAAAGGGAATTTGCTGAAAATTTAAGTCAAATTTAACCAAGATTTTAGCAATTGAATTTGGGCCAAGTCTCGATCATCATTACTAAAGTAAGTACGATAAAAAAAACATAGTCTCGATTATCCATTTCATGATTAAATCATGAATGAAAGTTGAGCAGCAAATCAGATCCTAATCGAGTAAAGATCGCAGTCTAGCGTTGACATCGAGAGTTGATTATAGTCTGGATAAGTTAATTAATGTCTAATTAATAATTTAGATAACATTTCTGGCCTAAAGAAAGACCTGCAATAGGCAGATTTAGCTCTTGCATAATGTATGTTTATGTACCTTGACTAAGTTCGACAATGAACATTTTCTGCTGAGGGTAAACAGAGCGATAAGCAATTTGATTGATCAAGTCTTTGAAACACAATAACTCTCCTTCTAATTGAGGTAGAATGATCAGACTTGGTGTAAACTTTCATTAGATGATGAACATTGTCTGCTTACGGTAAGCAGAGATTAGCATTTGATCGTTGATGCTTTTGGGCACAATAACTTTGGTTATAATTCCGTAAGAGCTATGAAACTCTGAATATAGATTCATTATATCATTACCTTGACTAAGTTTCATGAGAATTTTCTGCTTAGGCTAAGGAACAATAACCAATTTGATTGGTCAAGACTTCGGAACATAACAACTCTGCTTTTAATTGAGGTAGAATGTTTAAACTTGATGTTGATGTTCATTAGGTGAATGTCTTAACTGAGTTCAATGATTTACATTTTCTGCTAAAGCTAAGCAGAGCTAAGCAATTTCTTTGACTTTGATTCTGTCTGGTAGAGAGTGATGAAACTTAGTGTATAGTTGATAATCAGTTTGATTGCTCGATACTTTTGAAAAAGATAAACATACAATTAATTAATACCGGTATGTGTTATCTATTTATTTCGGGATTTCGGGGGGGGGGGGGGGACATCAGCCTCACTGTTGGCTTGTTACAGATATTTTAGGATCTGAATTCTACAACTCAACGTCAAAGTATTCAATTTAGCACACAAGTTTGGTACCATGATACTTGGCGGAATTCACGCGGATATGGATAATAGTGTTGCACAAATCTTCGAGCCAAAGCAGATTTGCGGATTTTTAAGAACTTTTAGGCATTCCGATGTCGAAGAAATAAAAAGGTTTCATCTTGATACAATATTCATATGGATCAATGTACTTAAGTCGTAAAGACCTTAACAATTTAAGAGTGTTTGTGTACCTATTGATAATGTGACGTGATTGGTCTTTGATAATTGAGAGTGACAGGTTAGTTACTGAAGTGACAGGTAGCTTTTTTAAAATATTTCAAAGCCTGAGCAGGTGTAAGTGTGTTTGACATCATTTTACCATACAATGCATAGAATGACTGTATTGTGTAAACACCCTTACTGATATATTGCATCCAACGGTTGTGTGGATTGGTTGTATCATGTAAACGCCGGTTTAGTCACTTATGATAGATATTTTTGTAATCATAACAGTATTCAATTAAAACATTATGGGAGATAGTATATAACTTTACTTAACTAAAGAATGCATTAGTGATGTTATCAACACTGTCAGATCTTTGAGTATTGTGGTTTGTCACAGATTTAATTAGGTTTAACAGAACTTATTAAGACTTTTTAAAATATAATCCAGTCGTATCTATGTTTATAATTTATAACCATTGTTTAATTTCCCTTTCAGTCACCATATCATTCAGGATTATTTCAATTGGAATTATTTCTTCCTGAGGAGTATCCAATGTCAGCTCCTAAAGTTAGATTTATGACCAAGATATATCATCCTAATATAGATAAACTTGGTAGAATTTGCTTAGACATACTTAAAGGTACGGTATAGTTGTTCTGTCTGTTTATAAAGTATATTATGTTTTTGGTTACCTATTATTTATTTGTGGAAATTACAAAGGTAAAAAGTTGACAGTATTTATATTCTTGATATTACTACACTTAAGTGGCAGACATACAAGATGAATTTCAGCTCGATTCAATCGGTGCCGAATTCATTTGGTTGATTAAGTGGACACACTGGGCGAATTCTCTGTCTGATTCACCAGTCAATTGCATCACCTTTCACTCCGGTCACATGATTAATCATGGCAGGAACCAAGAAAGAGGTGGGAGAATAGAAGTGACTACATGTCTCCTTCATGTAGTTTCAATACTCCAGCAGGGAAGCATCGTACAGAAACGTCCTTCTCAGAATTACACATTTCCGTGATAGTGCCATTTTATCGTCAAAAAATCATATGACTTTCTTGACATCAGTGATTGGCTAATGAACTCCATAATCAGGCAATGTTTTTTGGCCAACCGAACACACTGAGTAAATATAAACACGGTGAATGAAATTTCGACCCAAAATATCAAACATGATTGATTCGAGTGAATCATTCTGGACTCTCTGGACACACTAGGCGAAATATGCCTAATCTCCCATTTTTTCCAGTGAGTAATTGGGATCCTTGGATCTACCCATGTTTATATTTGCTTACAGTATGTGCTAAAAACTAAATTTAACGTTAGTGTACTGTGATTACAATTATATCTTTTTGGGAATTGATTTTCTTCGGCAAATATGGATATGTATATCTGGGTATGAGTGTTTTGTGTTTAAAGAGTAGTAAATGTTTTGTTGTGAATGTCGACAGTGAGATTTAATTTATTTTTTGTAGACAAATGGAGCCCAGCTTTACAGATACGAACCGTTCTACTATCCATCCAGGCTCTGCTTAGTGCACCTAACCCTGATGATCCATTAGACAATAATGTTGCTGATCTATGGAAGTGTAATGAACAACAAGCCATAGAAACAGGTAAACCATATCAATATATATTTTCTATACACCTACATTTTAATATTGTTGTGTACTTACTTTCTTCAGATATTCTTGGCTATAAACTGCTGGGGTATTTGTTAGGGGTATTAGAATGATTGATTATGATCTGCGTAACATATCATATCAAGTTCCTGGTTCCTGGTTCCTGGCTGCTACTTTGTTTAGTATAATCATGCATGTTGAAAAAAACATTTCCATATTATGTTGAATTAAACAAAATATTTGGGATTGAACAATACAGAATGTTAAATATGTTAAAAAATTTTTATTTCCACAGCAAAAGATTGGACTAGAAAATATGCGATGGCAAAGAACAATAATATTCAATGATATTGTGTTGATAAATAACTGAGATGCATTGACAATTTGTGAAAGAGACACAACACTGTTAGCCGTCAAACAACTTAAAGGAAAAGGGCTCAACTAGGTACATTTTGTTGTTTGAGCTTTTTAAAGTGTGTCATCATTGTTTTGTGAATATCAGAGACTATGTATATTTTTGTCAACCCTGACATTCACAATTAAAAAAAGATTTTTTTTGTTTTGTTCTGATGCTGCACATATTATTGACACCTATTATGTACCGAAATGTATTATTACCAGATTTATCTGTAAGAAGACCATTTTTCATAATTTTTTTGATTCCAGTGTAAGGTCTAATCAAATTTTAATTCAAAATCATCTTTAATACATTTGTTGTCTGTATATATATATATATATATATATATATATATATATATATATATATATATATATATATATATATATATAATAACTGTTCTGTTTTTCCCCTATAAAAATTAAACTGTATTGTACTGATTAAGGTTATTTTCAAATTATGTTTTACATGTTAAATAAATGTGTATGTGAATTTGTTTGTGAACTACACAAACTTGTAAACATGATCCATTGATATTTCTTTAAGGCATTTTCAACTCAAACAGAGAACTCCAACCAATGCCATTTGATATGTTATCTAATATTAGAATATATTCAAAAATGTGCAGCACAAAATACAAATCATTTCAAATTTTATCAGCAAATTGAGACGCTGGCCGGAACATGATATGAGTGGAATTACTAGTCGCGTTGCTATAGATAAACAAGAGGCAGCATGTTATTTGATTCAACGACTTGCTTATTGTGTATTCACATAACCACATTATAAGAGTATGGACAGTAATTATTATAGAACGAGGATAAGGTTTTGTTGACAGTTACCCAGATTGTTACATCCAACATCTTAAGTTGTTAGTGGAAATGATTTGTATTTTGTGTAGTATATTTTAATATTAGATAATGGATAAAATATAAACAAAAGGGAAGTTATGTTGATGGAATATTGATTGTGTCTGTATTTAGATTGAAATATAGATACAAAACAAATTTATTAGATAATTTAAAATGTATTTATGAGCTGGATATATATATATATATAAGATTGAACTTACATTAAAAGAAATTTGCCAGCTGATGGTCTGACTTTTTTTATTTTTAAACTAGCAATATTGCTTGATATACACAACAGACAGAACATTGCTTTAAATAAAGCTTATACTTATACTTTGTATTGTTTCTTGATATGTTAATGACCTACTAATTGCCACTTTTACAATGAATACCCAGTTCAGAATTACTTTAAGGTGAAATACCACTTAAACTCGAGTCAAAACACATATTGTGGTAATTCATCATAAGGTAATTCTCAGAACTTATTCATTTAATTGTAATCTGCCCCATAAGCAGAATATTCTTTAAACTTGCAGACCGTATGTCATTAATGTGTGATTTATTGTCTCTATGCATTCTTTAATATATAGATGTAGTTACAGTCCTAACTCGTACCAATTTAAGAGATATTTTTTTTTTCATAACTATTTTATGTTAAATAGCCCAAACTAGTTTAACCAATTTTGAGATATTTTCCTGTTGACACAAAACTTGTAATACTTTCCAGTGTAAAATTAATGGACATGTTGATACTGATGCCAGGTTCGGTTTACAAAAAAACTATAAATGAAAAATATGTATTTGTTTCCACCAATTGTATTTTTCATATTGGATACTTTTTCAAATCGAGTTATGGAAGATGTTTTGGCATACAACTATGTTAATGAAACTTAAAAAAACATGTTTGTGTCACAATTTTCTTTTATTGTGAATAATGAATTCCCTGCTGTATTTGGTTGTTCCTACATTTTATCGTTGAAAAAATTTAGTCTCCCGTCTGTAGCATTTCACAATTAGTTAAGATGTGATTCGGGCAATAAATGTTATGACAAAATCCATCTGATTAGTGTGGTTACAGTCTTTAAATTGAAATTTAATTAAGGCGTTCTGTAATGTTCTTATTTGTAAAGGAATAACTTAGTTTACATGTAATCACAGTAGATATTTTGTTTAGGAATGTTACAAATTCTTGTATCTGTAAATCAAAAATTGGTCTCTGTAAAAGTTTAAATTAAAAATAAAAATACTTATATATGACATGTTTCTTGTTTTATCATGGGTTCATCTTTATGTTTTGTTTTGCCTTTTTTTTTAAAAAAAAAAACACAACAGGGGAAAAATTTTAAGAATATTTGTTTATGTTATCTTAATGTTTATTATTATTTTCCCAAATTTGAACATTTTTTTGGATTTAATCATGTCTCATGTAATATAGTTATTTAAATGTATCGGAAAATTAAAAGAGTAATTTAAAAATAGAGTGTGTTAATATTCAACATTCTTCCATTAACATCCCATCAAAATTCTCAATCATAAATGCTTCAATTGGACACTCCAAATTTTTTTATTCTGGATCAAATTCGGTTAGTTGTTTACTAAAGAGCATTTTCAATGCAATATCAGATGAAAGAAACTGTTGTCGATTTCTTGCAATTGGTGCTTGATTCTGTTCCTTCCCAAAATAATGTGGATAAAACTGGTGTGCAGCATTTACTATTAATATGCACCAGATAGAGGTATATTTGTTGATGTGTTTTTATAGTATGGTGATGACTGGGGCAAAATATCAAACAAATAGATTTTTGTTGACAGTGCAAGAGCTAATCTTCTGAACTACAGGGCTCTCACAAGCTCAGGGAGGGGGTCTCTCTATACCGGGAAGGGATCTCTCTATACCGGGAAGGGATGCTTCAACTGATGACAAGATACAGAAATATAAACAAATTTATAGAAAATGAGTTCAGAATTGCTTGTGAGTTTATTGGTTCCTTAGCAAGCTTTACAGGGGCACAATAAGCATTGTTAATGGCAAAATACAATTTACAATTTTAGAGGAAATTGCGCCGACAACTACCGAATTTTCTCAGGGATTGCACTCCTTGACTCCAAAAGGATGCTTCTAATTCTAATGATATTAGGCATAGAATTGTAAACAGAACTTGAATGGTAAAACTGGTTAAAAATTGCAAAAATGTGAGGTTGGGGTTATTATATGAACTGGGTTACTTGTGACATACTTTCCCATACTATCCGCAATGGGAGGCCAATAAAAAATCTCTCTCTCTCTTCCTCACCCGCCTTGATGCTACCGTCTCACCACGTCAGTGTATTGGAGTAAAAATAAGGACAATCTACTGCCCAAATAAAGAATGTTTGTTGATTAAACTTAAAAATACAGATCCTTTCAAGTTTCAGATGCCATCTACATAATTTAAAGGCTCAATACCACTCTTGTTGTAACTGAATAATATGTCCCAATCTTTATTCTGGTCAACAAATTGTACTATTTTAGAATATTTCAATTAATTGATGATACAAATTTTGTCTTAACACACCTTATTTAAAATTTTTGAAAAATTCAACATATGGTTTGAAACGTGTAACGTAAACCTTTTCAAATGAAACTTCCATTTAAAAATATTTTCGAACCCTCTGGACAAGTAAAATAGGATGTAATGGATAATTTACACAACAGACAGGACACTTAAACATTTAGTGCTTAGATAGAGATATTATTTATTTTCTGGAGCTTTCAAGCCAGCAAGAGTGCTATTGTCCCTTTAATAATGAACAATAATTTATAAAATAATCGATTTTAAATGCTTAATGATATTTTATAAATATTTATTTGGCTTTGCTGGGGTAGGGTGGGGGTAAATTTACGGTAAACTGAGAAATGTATTTCTCTGAGCATAATAAAAGTTCCTTGAAGACTTGAAACAGTTTTCTACTATATTGCATATGTGATGTTCAAGTCTAAGATACATGTAGACTCGATTAATAATACAGTAGGTGGCGCTGCAAAATAAGAAAATTATAAACAACGTCCACGTTTTTGTTTGTTTGGTAGTATAAAGCTAACTACACCAATTTGGAACGCGGTGCCAGTACTAGGTCATCATTTAATTATAATATCTAACTAAAGTAGATCAGTTTTCTTACTGGCTATTTGTGATTTAAAAACTCTTCTGTAATTTTCTTCCTATACTCCTATAGTAAAATACAATAGGTCAACATGACCCTATTTATTAATAATATTATTATTAAGTTCCTGTTCAAAAATGTAAACAAAGTCTGCTGATCAAATTTTATGTTCAAATGTCTATCAATTTTAAAGAATATTTACATACGAATTAATTACAGGATTCATGAATAAGAATGACTGCCTTCTGTTTTGGTTGTTCCAAAAGATCTTGATTCACATCTTTTATATTCTTTATTTATTTTTTTGAATGTGGGTCCATAGATTTACAGCTTCAATTAACCAAACAACCTGCATTTTACTTGAAACTGCACTTATTTTTAAAAAATTGACCAAGGTTTCTACCAAATGGTCCATTTTTTACACTTTGTATGTCTCCAGTCCAAATGCCAATATTTGCCTATCTTGGAAATTCTGAGATGAAAGGTATTTATTTCTAGAAACCTTGACCAGTTTACAAGATGAGAGAGAGAAATGGGGTTTAAGGTACACTCAACACAAACTAGGTCATTTTGGGACTAACACATGGTTTAATTTTATTTCAATAATTTGATTGCGCGTAGAGGTCTTTAGCAGTGGGAGGAAACCGGAGGACCCACAGAAAACCCACATGGTTGGACAGGCGACCCTATTCCTTGTCACGTACAACCGGGGAATCGAAACCACGCCAGTTGACTCAATGACAGACCTCATGATACAGCGCGCACATGCTAGCCATTCGTCCATCCCCCCCCCCCCCCCCTGTATACAAGAAGACAAGCTGTAAATTGGTTGCATTAAAGGTAACTGTAAGGAACTATAATGAAACTTCTAAGTCCACCCCCTAAAAATGTCACTTTTTCGTTGGGCTGAATGCTTTTCACTAAAGACAGAGGAACTAATGGTTATGTCATTGCACTAAAATCTGTATGAGGTTGACCACCAAAACACAGACTTGAAGAAGCATACTAAAACCATGTAACTATTTGCCGTACATATCACCATAACCAACCTGATAACTCTGTTATCCTTCCGCATCTAAATAATGTTAATTCAAACCCTCTTCGTCCATTCTAGACCAAAAAATCAACAAAAATTGGCATGCAAAAGGGGAGAAAGTAGACAGAGAATTGCTATAAATAGATTAACTACAATTTGTAGGTACCGAGATGGTGAAATTCAATGGTGGTCTCCCTCCTTGTAGTAGATACAAGATTTGTTTTTTTGTTTTATGTTTCTGATGAAATTATGAAATGTAAATGTCATTTTTTGACTTCTAAAATAGATTTTATCATTATATTTCTATATTAAAATACATATAAATTAAACAAATTTTTTAAGATATTTTTAGCATAAATGTCGACGAAATATAACAGCAAATGAAGAATTAAGAATTAAGAGCTATAGGCCTAAATTTAGATAACAAACCTCATCTCGCAACCCTCGTGATTCAAGATAAGAGATGGTGCTATATAGTTCCACGTAGCAAAGCCTAACACAAATCACATCGGGCCTCAGTAAGCAAAATTGACAATATTTTTTCATCAAAACAACGATTGATTATTGTTATTAATAATATTTCTGCCACATCCAACTAAAATTAAGCATATAGTCCTACCTGAAACGGGTATAAATCATCGTATTTAAAATCGAGGCGTTAAGCCATTACTAGGAATGCCATTTTTAAATGGGAGATGTATGACGGTGTATGTCAGATAAAAACAATGCTTCATTAATTTAAAGGCGAATATTTGGAGATAAGCGATAGTTGTGCCACTACATTGGCCTCTGTAAGTTTAATTAGTCATAATAGTATAAAATTATCTTTTTTTTTTAAGATGTTACATGCATTAATAAAGAAATTGAGTTTGCCACTTGGAAACAAGCACATCAGTATATCTCAACATTTTTAGCTACATTCTCGTAGCTAGCCTAAATTAGGAAGTAAGAATAAAGAACACTGAATAAAGAGCTGTTTGGTCTGCCATAGAAATGACCTGAACCTACTACAATAACAAAAAGAATTGTCAAGTCTTTGATCTTCCATTTATTTCCCGGGTTTTTTTTTCAGAACTATTGAAATACCGTATTAAAAAATGAGTAACTATGAGAGATTAGATAAAGAGCTGGCAGTTCTTACTATTAAAAACCGGATAATGTAAAGGGAATAGCTAAAAATTTCAGTCAAATTGATCCACTCTGAACCAAGATTTTAGCAATTGAATTTTCGGCCTAGCCTCCATCATCATTACTAAAGTTGGTACGATAAAAAGCATAGTCTCAATTATCCATTTCATGATTAAATCAGGAATGAAAGTGGAGCAGAAAATGGCATCCTAATCCAGTAAACATCTCAGGCTAGTGTTGACATCAAGCGTTGATTATGGTCTGGATAAGTTAATTAATGTCTAATTAATAATTTAGATAACATTTCAGGCCTAAAGAAAGACCTGCAATAGGAAGATTTAGCTCTTGCATAATGTATGTTTAAGTTTAGGTAATATTAATCATATGTACGTATAAAAAGAAAGAAAAAAACAATAAAAATGTTTTGTTTCATTCAAAATACAGGTTGGTTTGGGTAATTAAAGTTGTTTGAGGTTGATTTGGGTAAATCTATGGACCACTTTATCATATTTTAATTTTAAATGCCCACATTGAAATGTGGTCATATATTGTCGTCGCCCCCGTCCGTCCGGCGTCCACACAGCATTTAAGGTTATGAGAGGAAGAATCCTATTGATTTTCAATGATATCCGCTAATTACTGCCAGAGTTATGGCCCTTGATCACTTTGAAAAATCTTGTGGACGCTCTAGAGGCTAAAGTTAATAACTGATTTGTTTTAATTTTATACACATTGTTGAAGGTTGTGAGACGAAAAAGCCCAGTGATTTTCAATGATTTCTGATAATTACTGCCAGAGTCATGGCCCTTGATCACTTTGAAATGTCTTGTGGACGCTCTAGAGGCTGAAGTTTAATATAAAAATTGTGTTTGCTGTTTTAGAGACTCAAGTTATTTCAATTGCTGTTGTAGAAGAATAATGAATAACAACAAGTTTAATACAGAATGTAAATTTATCAAACAGGAGGCAAGTTTGTTTGAATAATTTTAAATCTATTTATCAAAAGTAATTGCCAATTATCTTCTGCCTTTTAAAAAAGAATGATAAAGAGTTTAATCAAATCCCAAGATGTAGATACATGTAACTGACCTAACCTGCCTTCTCTATACAAACCTAAACTCAAAATGATATAGCCAGGTCATACATACTAAACAGCAAAAAAAAAAAAACCCTCTGTACGATTTCAAAATCAGAGAGGCACTTCAATCAAATCATTCTAGAAAATAGATCAAAGCAATTTTTTGTGAACAGTATGTTGACGCATTAGTGATTAATTCATCACAATTCCAAGACATTACGAGAAGGTTTGGAGTCTGTACACAGTTTATACATCAGTATCTGATGTGTCCACCGCGAGTGTCAATAACAGCAGACAATTGATGAACGCTATTGGCACCTGGAACCACACTCTCAGAAAAGCCTGGCACAATCCATCAGCTGTGTTTGGTCTCGGTACATTTTTAAGTCTCCTCTGAATTTCATCCCAAAGATGTTCAATCGTGTTTAAGTCCAGACTATGAGCTGGCCATGCAGTGCATAACATTGACACCGTTCTGCTGTAGAAAGTCCCAAGTAACTCTGGCGGTGTGGGCATGGGCGAGGTCATGCTGGAAAACGTCGTTTTGATGACGTGCGAAATGTGGTATGACGTGGGGTCTGTGAGCTTGATCGATGTAGCGCACTGCTGTGATGCCGCCTCCTCTCCCACCAAGATTTTGGAACAAAATAGGACCCACACTCTGGTTCAGGCCGATTCCACGCCAAACCATTATGCTTGGTCCACCCCATGATGAGTCTCATTCCATGACACATTGGTCAGAATAACGCTGGCCACGTCGACGCCATATTCTGGTCCTGCCATCTGGAGTTGATACGCAATACCGACTCTCATCTGTGAACAGAACAGTTCTAAATTGCCTGTGTTGCTAGTTCTGGTGTTGTTGGGCAAACTGTAGACATTCAAGTCGATGGCGAGGGGTGACGATCGGTCCATGGTAAGGTCTACGGCAATGGTTATTCTCTCTGGTGAGACGTCGGTGCTCAGGTAAAGTTGGAGATGTGGTCACAAATATACAATAAAAACATTTGGCAAGTTTTATGCAATGCATCTATTCAGAGTAACATACCAACCTGACGTTTCTTTTGCTGCTTATTATAGTTAGAACGGTACTATTGCAAGTTACATTTAATTCGATCAGATTTAACTTGATATATATGTGTATTTTTATTAGGAGGTAGCAAGAGGTAAATGGTTATCATTAAATAATGTACATTATACAGATCCTACTGGTAAAGAAAGGTAAGTTTAAAACAAAACTTTCTTCATTATAATTACAATAATACTACCATAACTAATAATGTTATGTAAAAGAGTTTTACAGAGTATTGTGTTTATATGGAGTTTTGATATACCAAAACTATGATATATAGAAAGTTAAACCATTGATATACAAATGTTTATTCGAAATTGATGTTTTTTCTCACAGTGGACAGGTTAAGTATCAGAAAAACAGAATTTAACTATTTAACATGTATTACAAAGAGTTTTCTATCCTTCCACATATAATCGGGACGTCAAATGCCAAATTATCACTGAAACCACTTTTGCCTGATATATAATGTTTTTCGGTGGATTATTGTTGGGTAGGGTCCCCTTGATTTTTCCAGGGTGGGTGTGGGCGTGTCACCCTTGGGGAAAATTAAATATTCAAGATGGCGGCCAAAAATGGTGAGAAAAATACAAAAAAAAAAAATCATTTTTCACCATCCTAGGTCGTGTAACATATCGTTTTATATGTTTTCGTGGTCGCTGAACACGAAATTGGGCATATTTTTAACATCCAACCTATTCCGAGCAATATAATTAAAATGACGGCCAAAAATGGCGGCGGAAGTACAAGAGTTCCAAATTTCGCCCTACTAATATGAATTCGGACATGTTTTTAACATAAGACCCATCATGAAGGCGGAAAATAGAATAAAAAGTTCACATAGCTGGATTTATGATAAATCAGTCCAGAAATTTTAATTTTGAAGATTTCAAGATGGCGTCCAAGACGATCACCATTTCACACAATTCCCTATAACTACCATAGTATTTTGTCAAGAATGCTAATTTTGGTGTCGAGACTAAATGGGAGTTCTAGGGGATTATGTGAAATGGTGGTCATCTTGGACGCCATCTTGAATTCTTCAAAACGCTTAAGGGTGACAGAGGTTCACCCGCCAGATTCTAAAAGAGGACACATGGCTACTAAAATCAATCATAAAAAAAACTTTGTATACATAATTTCCAGGTTCACTAGAAATATTGGATTAGTTTAAATGAGTTGGAAACGCACTCTGTAGAACTGGTATCGAAAACAATATTTCGACTCAGAGTAAAGTAATTTGGCTGAAATTTTTAGTTTATTCTGTTTTCATTATCTATTTTTTTAACTATCATGGAGAGCACAGTCAGCTCTTTATCTAATCTCACCAAATACCCCTTAAATTAAGTATTAAATAGTCAATCTGAATACATATATATTAGCGTGGATTAAGCCGTGAGAAATTTATATTTTCTAAAAAATGCATATTAAGCCATTGTTACACTAAAATACAGTATCTTAGAAACAGTGAACTGTGGCTTACTAGAAGCGGTCGGTGGTTACACAAATTCCTATATTTATAACTCATTCAAGCACATCAAGGGAAATTTTGAAAATATTACAGGATACCTACAAAATCTAATCCGACAATATGGAAGAATCCGTAGGGCACCATAATCTGTTCATGGCGTATGGCCTCGAAAGATCTTATATCTATATAATATTTATAATATAAAATCGCTCGTATATATTACTTCTCATAATGCTGACCGATTTAATATACATCCGTCAACTAAGAATATTTATATGCTGTAGTGTAATATCTGAATACATATGAATTAAGAATAAACAATTACTGATTACCAATAATCCGAATATAGTGAATAAACTATGTAAAAAATATTAACTTCACCTTCCATTTAAAATAAATGGATTTGAATGGGAGGAATTATCAATGAAAAAAAAACGCAACCCAGTGGCTGTAAAAAGTCAGATTTATCATGTTTTAATTTTTGTTCCTGTTCCAATTCATACAAATGCTTCAATTCCGTCTCAGTTGAGATTGGAACAGAGGACAGTGATAATGAAGACGAAGAAGATGATGAAGATGACACGATATGATATATTAATATTGCTTTAATCATATGATTTACATAATATCGTATCTTTTTGTTCCTTATAGACTTACTTAAAATTGAAATTTCTGGAATGATTTATCATAAATCTAGCTATGTGAAGTTTTTTTGTTTTCTATTTTCCGCCTTCGTTATGGGTCATTTGTTAATATGATGTCCGAATTTGCGTTAAGCGACCCCAAAACATATAAAACGATATATTACAAGACCTAGTAGGGCGAAATATGAAATTCTTGTACTTCCGCCGCCATATTTGGCCGCCATTTTGAATATCTTTATCCGAATAGGTCGGATGTTAAAAATATGCCCGATTTCATGTTCAGCGACCCTGAAAAGATAAAACGATATATTACACGACCTAGGATGGTGAAAAATGATTTTTTTTTGTATTTTTCTCACCATTTTTGGCTGCCATCTTGAATATTTAAATTTCCCCAAGGGTGACATGACCACACCCACCCTGGAAAAATCAAGGGGACCCTACCCAACAATAATCCACCGAGAAACATTATATATCAAACAAAAGTGGGTTCTCGGCCCTGGTGTCCAAACTAATATGCCTTCTGAGAGATTCTGGAAGGTTACTGTTATTATGATATTTTATAATTTATAGAGTATGGGAAGCTGTATATAGAACAACAACAACAACACAATCAGCTGATGGTAGTTATTATATTAATTCTCTAATAATTGTATGATCAAGACTTTATTGGGTTAATACTTTACTTCTACTACAGATATGAAATCAAGCTATTGACATATTATGGTGTTATATCACTGTATATTTTTGGCTTTCAAATGTCTGAAACCAGGAAGAACTCTATGGAAATAGATGATTTTAGATTATGCTCCACACATTTAAATTTTGACTTTCGATTATGTGAACCTTAGCAGTTTTAGCACCCTGACAGGCTACTTTGCCCTCATGCTTGTTTTCTGTAACAAGTTTGATATCTTTTATTATATTTTCTAAAGTATTTTATATATTTTTCAGCTGTAGTGGTGATCCCATTATTAAAGAGATCATTGAAATATGATTGTATTGTATTAGTCAAACAGTACAGGCCTCCTATGAAAAACTATACATTAGAATTCCCTGCTGGTTTAATCGATAAAGGAGAATCCTCAGATGATTGCGCTATTCGTGAATTAAAAGAAGAAACAGGTTATATCGGTAGATGTAAACATATTTCACCAGGTAAATACACAGCTTAATCTGTAGGATGACAACAAAATTGAACAAATTAACTTTGATTTTGCCTATCTATTTGATGCTGTGTCATTGGTGGTGAAGCTATGGCACTTGTGTCACTGACACACTGCTCTAGTTCCAAAGTTGCATTCTTAACACACAGTTGAGAAGCTCAGCTGTTAACAGTATTCTGACAAAGTAGCAAATATCAAAGTGTTTACCTTTGTTTTGATTTTGAAAGATATGATAATAAGTATATCATGGCCAACACTGCACATTAACATTAAGATTTATTTTCTCAAAAGAGATATCTGATCATTAACCCTTGTAGCACTTTCGTCCTTAAGACAATATTGGTTCTTTGAAAAATTGTTGCTTCACTCTGTCTACAGAGTCAAATCACGCATACTTAATGAACGGGAATATATATTTATACATAAAAAACAGTGATATTTTGGTAAAATCATAACCATTGTTAAAATACCCATAAAATTCTATCTGTTTATTGCCCTATGGTTGGTACACCAGTAAGGTAATGCCCCCCCCCCCCGCCGCTCTTGAGAAATAAAGAGGTTTATTCCATATTTGGGCTGGAAATTAACGTCAAGGCTAATCTAAGACGTGCAGAAATCAGGGGGTTATAAAAGAGGGTGTTGAGCGAGACTGGGCAGAGCTCACCCCGGTATTCCAAGCAGCTATTATTATTAAGAACGAATGGTTAGCACTTGCACGCTGTATCATAAGGCCTGTCATTGAGTCAACTGGCGAGGTTTTGAATGCCCGGTTGTACGTGACAAGGAGTACTGTAGGGTCACCTGTCCAGCCTCGTGGGTTTTCTCCGGGTCCTCCCACTGCTAAAGACCCCTACAGGCAAACACATTATTGAAATAATCAAAATTAAACCATATGTTAGTCCCAAAATGACCTAGTTTGTGTAGAGTGGACGTTAAACCCCATTTCTCTCTCTCTCTCTCCAATAAATAGTACTACACCCTTTGATATTGAGCACAATTAATCTTTCTTCCACATTCTAAAGGAGCTAACTCTCTTGATTTACAATGTTGTAGGGCTGTCAGAAGACCCATAATACGCCCACCACCAGAAAATTCAACAAGTTTTCTAAAAGCCAACTAAGTTTTAATGGAATATTTTCATAAATTTCATTCACAAACTGTAAACGTTGAACAGAAAGATAACTCAAACATATTCTCTCTGATTTATGATCAAAATATTTTTGATTTTAATAGACTTCAACCATGCACCCAATTAATTTAGAATATTCTGTCCTTTATTGTGTTCACAAACTTTAACAGTTTCCCACACACAGTACATGTAACAAATCAATATAAATCCAATGAAATCAACAATTTTATTTCTTAACCAAAATCAAATAGGCATAGGTTGTGTCATGTTAAATTGTTGTAAAATGTACTAGTGTACTTGCTAGTAAATAAATATATATATTATTATTTACAGCAACATCTTTAGATCCTGGTGTAGGTAATACATCAGTTGTTATGATAACTGTTGAGGTAGGTAAATTTACTATGTTTCTTGTCCTCATGAAAATTTAACTGAAAAGGGGCACAATACATTGTCAGCATTGAAGGACACTGTCCTCAAGTCACTCTTTCAGTTCCCTAAATCCGATATATTGAGGATGTTACACATCCTAATTTTTGCCAAATACATATATTTGAGTATTCTTGTCTACCTAGGAAGTAATTGGTTCCTAGTTCAATAGTGCAATTAATGTACTGTGAAACAAGCGCACTTCAGCTTGTTGTCCTTCGAAATAAAAGTATAAGGCTCTGCAATTCAAGTACAATCGACATGAAACTGGGCATGATTGTTCGACATTGTTCCTTGGACAAATGTGCATCGATTGACGGACACAGATTTTTAATATGCCATCGCAATTCCAAGATGACAGTGCCAATAGTACACTCATATTTGATTTGAGCTAAAACTATTGACAAATGGGATGAGACCAGGTCTATGTCTTTTGACCGAGACAAAGAGAAGTTCAAATAACATTTACCGGTATACATACATTAAAGGGGCATTATGTAAGATTAGATAAAGAGCTGACAGTTCTCGTTATAATAGTTAAAAGAGATTATGTTGAAATTTCCTGACAAATTACTTCACTCTGAACCGAGTTATCGCCGATGCAATGACAATTGATTGTCATTGCTACACTTGTTACAATGATAAACAAAATCTTGATTATCCAATTTTACATTAAATCATCAACTGTAAATCTATTGAAAATCTGGGGAATGCTCACTAGTCAGCAGGTTCATTAGTCCACTGATATCTATTATTAGGGGTTGGGTTAGGGTTAGGGTTAAGGTGCACTAGTCCGCGGGTTCATTAGCCCACTGACATCTATTATTAGGGTTAGGATTCAGATTAGGTTTTTTTGCTACCCATATTTATAGTATTTCTTATAGCGGCAGACTAGTGAACCCCTCTCAAAAATCTAGGGTATCCGATGGCATCGTGAGTTGATTATGCTCTTTGTTAAGTTAATTAATGTCTAATTAATAATTTATATAACATTTAAGGCATAAAGAAAGACCTACAACAGGCAGGTTTAGCTCTTGCATAATGCCTGTTTAATTATTTTAAATACAGTAAAACAGTGAATTATTTGTTTGTTATTATTAGATTGATGGAGATAACATAGAAAATAAAGTGCCGACACCAAATTTAGGTAGGGAAAATAATTTATTCCTTTGACTTATTATTTGATTTTAAGTCCATCTTTTGTACAAATCTCTTGATAAATAAAAAATTCCACAATTGAAATATAATTTAGTAGACATATGTTTGAAAACCATGATACTTTGTAGTTCCTCTATGTCAAACACTTAAAATGAAATGAAATGAAATGGGGTTTAACATCCTACTGTTCTGCACCTATACTGGGCTAATGAAGAAATATTTTATCACTATATTTGGTTTTTATAAACAATTCAACAAAATTATTTTTCACATGTCAAGACAAAAATACACATGTCAAGACGAAAAAATTCATATGTCAACACTAAAAAATTCACATGTCAAGACGGAAAAATTCACATGTCAAGACGAAAAAAATCATATATCACGAGCATGTGACCCTTCAAGAGCATGTGACCCTTCAAGAGCACGTGACCACAAAAACTGATGATGTCATCAACTTTGTGGGAAGAAAAAAATGGCGGGACCGTCAGACGATAAGTTGTACGTTTCATCAAATTTTGACGATCTACTTAGTGATCTTCGGCACAGAACAGCTGGGTCCTCAAATGAGATAAGAGACGTTGAGTCTCATATCCTGCAGAACCCCCATTTGCAGTGACATCATCAGTTTTTGTGGTCACGTGCTCTTGATATATGATTTTTTTCTCGTCTTGACATGTGAAATTTTCCATCTTGACATGTGAATTTTTTAGTGTTGACATATGAATTTTTTCATCTTGACGTGTATTTTTTTTTTGTCTTGACATTTGAAAAATAATTTTGTTGAATTGTTTATAAAAACCGAATATAGTGGTAAAATATTTCCATGAACAGTAGGCCTATAAATTGACTTGACTATAACAAAATACAAGAGCAGCAATGGAAAAAAATAATCTTTATTGAATCTTTATACGTCGTTTTGTACAGAAAAAAAATGCTTGGAAGGTGATGAAAAAATTGTTATATTATATACTCGATTTTTTCTCTTTCCATGCAGGAAAACGGTCTTGCAAGTAATTCCGCTTTGGCTTGCCATAATTGCCTACTCTTATATCGAATTCCAACTGCCAGGGGATCTTTTACGTGCATTCCAATATATACACGGGACCTCGGTTTTTCATCTCATTCGAAGGACTAGACAGCTGTCCTTGTCAGGCCCTCCGTTCTGCACCACTGACAAGTGGAAACCACGTCGGAATATCTGGCTGAACTTTCTCGGCCAATGCAGGAATCGAACACCCGACCTCCAGGCTAGTGAGCCAGCGTCTTAACCACCTAGCCACCGTGGCTCCCCCAAACACTTAAAAATACATATACAGTAATGGAAAAGTAAATGTAGTAAATTGAATAGACACAAAAAGGTATTGCAGCTGGCTGAGAGCTCTGGTATTATCCTGTTGTATTAATGAAATATTTTATGTATCAACTTTTATTATTTGCATTTAATTTACTTTTACTTTCATGTTTTTAACTTATGGCTGAACAGAAGAAACAGGTCAGTAGTTATTTACCTTATGTAATAATAATAATATATTATTTTAATAATTAAGACTTATAGACCTATTTTAATACTCTAGCTTTGCAAATTGAAAATATGCTAACAAATTAATGACATCTATCAATAAGAGCAATCTGTGTAGCAGTAACTCTTGCAAAATTAGTCTTGAAATCAGACAATATGCTTTGGTGTCCAATATGTGAATCATAAATATGGTGTCAGACTTAAAAGTTGAAAGATATCTTTTGTTCCAGAGTTTATAGAAGTTCTGGTGGTGCCTTTAATTCACATGCTTAGTAAATTAAATGGTAGGTAATAGTAGGGTCATATCATATTCTACAATATATATCAGTTTCTATAAAATGAAATAAGTGCAGCCTATTGGATCATGTCTGTCTGCTGTTTTAGATATTAGCAGCGTGATAGGACTACCATACAAAATTCTGCCTTTTTTTATATTATTTCCCAAAATCATTGAGTTGATTTTGTACTATATTCTATAGGAATTGATTTATTAGAGTTTTTCAGCAGTTAAAGACACATTATGTAAGATTTAGATAAAGGGCTGCTATAATAGTTCAAAAATAGATAATAGATAATGAGCGATTAGAGCGAAGTTATGAATGTTTGAAGATGTAGCGTGGATTATTTATTATCAATGTTTTATACGCCCATATTTTCATGTGGACGTATATTGTTCGCCCTGTCCATGTGGATGTCCGTCCACAATCTGTTTGCCTTTACACACAGCCATTAAGGACGAGATGACAGTGGCTATTTTGATTGAATACTAGTTACTTTATGTGTAATTTAAATTGGTTATCTTGATTTCAGAATATAGTAAGAAAGGTTACATCATTGATTCCAGAGTTTATACTTATGCCATTGCCATGGAACAGACCAAAAATACCAAACCAGTGATTCCAGATCAAGAACAACTTGAACCTCAAATACAAGATGAATATTTAAAATAATGTCCCAATTTATTTTCAAGTTACTGTGTTGATAAGGACTTCTTGCAAAAAAGAATTTTAATCTAGAGGGAGAATGGACAGGAGAAGGACTATGGCGGTATATTAGATTCAAAATTCTAACCTGCTATCATCTAATTTCTAACTTCTGTTCATGTAATTTCTATCTTCTATTCATGTAATTTCTAACTTCTATTCATGTAATTTTTAAATGAAGACAATGTATAATCCAACTTTTTTTTTGTATAGTGTAAATTTTAAATCTATTTCATCTTATTTCTATTATTAAAACGAAAAATGACTACTTCATTGTCACTTTACATGTTAAGCATGAATGTCAAATAAATTTAGAATTTTGATACTTCTGCCTAGCAACCATCATTATGAAATCGTTTGGTTTCACCACTGCATGCTCATTTGGTGATTGGGCACCTGGTCGGGACCATAATGAATGTATCTGATATAAACAACTCGCTCTTCGTCTGGTTGATAGTTGGACATAGTGCTGGAATTTTTTTTTGAGAGAGAGAACCACTTGGTCAATTTGTAACAAACATATGGTTCAGTTTTATTTCAATAATTCGCTTATGCGTTGGAATTAGCAGTGGGAGGAAACCGGAGGACACTGAGAAAACCCACGAGGTTGGACAGGCGACCCTACTTCTTCTCATGTACAACCAGGGAATTGATGCTGAAATTGAAAACAGCATTGAACTGATATGGTTGTGCAAATACTATTTCAAATATAAGCAATTTTTGAGAATTTGATTTGATTGTTTTTTTACAGTTAAGCCAATATTAATATTTATATACTGTTGATCTGTATTCTATTATACCGCCATAGGGGACATCCTTTGTTTTTATATTAGCTTATATGCATGTTCTAATGAGGGTTATTAAATATTGCCCAAGGCAAATCAGTTTTATATGTATGGTTTAATGGTCCAGAGCTAATATATTGATACTGCCCGAGGACGTTAGTCTGAGTGTTGTTTCAATATATTACGCAATGTCTTGTTAGAGACCATTAAAAAACTTAATATACAGATACTATCCTACTCTCGCATTTCAATGTAATTGTCACGCGAGTTCAATATTTCATCTAGTATAAAAAATATACAATATGCACATTGTCTGTACCATTATTTGAAATAATGGTATGTCAACATCAAAGATTGAGGTCACATCTGCATTTTACAAGTAAATAGTTGATCATCTCACTTTCAGAGATTGACTTAATGATCATGAGTATACTGTTTCGATGGAATGCGCGCATTATAAATATTCATTATTATTATTATTATTATTATCCAATATTAATTGTGTTCCAAAAGAAAATGGAAATTGTTTTAAGACACTTTTTGTTTTAGATATCTCTCAATGAGTATGTAAGTAAACTAAAAGAATTGATGCTGCTGAATGATTTTAAAGATACTTTCCCAGAAAAGTATTTATCGGGTGGTTATTTCCAATAAAAGTATATCAAATTTGGTATATATGGAAAGTATAGACACCCAATCTTAGTAGAAAAATACTGGATTACCCGAAAAATGCCCATGGGGCAAGCACAGGGCAAAATTGTCAGGGTATCACTAACTGGCAACCTGACTGTTATCTGCCAGCTTATTGTGTGCCAGCCTAAATTAGGGAGCGGTTGTTATTTCTTGATCAAATGGTTAGGCGGTTTTGGGAACATTGAGGGGTGTCACGTACAAAAGACTCTGCAATTAAAAGGCGGAAAAAGAAGATGACAGAAATAATTAAGAATTTACTTAGGCCTCAATATGTATGGTAAATGTATAGTAAGTAATGATAAATTCATTCTGAAAAATGGACCCTCCCACAATGAAGCTAAGTTGACAGACATTGCGTCTAACAACAGCTTACTTATAGCTATAGGTATCCCCGGCGAATACAAAATTTTGAGAGGGAATTGAAGCAAATATTTGATAGATATTTACTTTGGTTACTTTGAATATGTTTTTAGTCCAAATATATCATCAAAACACAAAGTTTGTACTAACAGAAATGCAAATTATTTCTTTGTACAAATGTTTATAAAGTAGTTTCAAAAACTATGAAAGGGTTATTACTACCAGCTGTATTTATATTCACCAGCTTTGTGTTCACATGGTTATAGTGTTCATTGATAACTTTTCACTTATTAAATGATAAGCTTTGCATTTTTAAAATACCAAACTATGTTATCATTCCTTTATTGATTTTCAAGACACAAACATGTATTTGAATATATTTTTTTATGCTGGCATCTGCATTCCTTTCTTGGGTTAAGACCACATCCTTTTTATTGTATTTAAAATTTGAATTAAGTGAATTGATTAATATATATCTGAAAAGCTCTCAGTTTTAATCAAATAATCTGGCATTTATATTTTACTCAGTTAATTGTATTATGTGTTAATTTCTATATATTATTGAATAATAAATTTAATAAACAAAAATATATTTCAAAAGTTATGTTGCCGTCTTGTCTGACCATCCTTTGTCCACAATTGCGTGTGAAAACTTATGATGCCGATCCTATATTAATCTATCATTTTATGTATTGTTTTAGTGAGGCCATGTAACTCAACACAAAATTATCAAATACTTGTAATTTTTGCAAATTCAAGGGACATTAATCCTTTCCTTCCTTTTTTATTAAACACCCCCACATGTATTTGCCCTGTCCCTCGGTTCATTTACCTTTGCTTGTCCGCTCTCTAACTCAACACAAAATTATCAAATACATGTACTTGTAATTTTTGCAAATTCAAGGGACATTTTTTATTATACACCCTCACATGTATTTGCCCTGTCGATCGGTTCATTTACATTTGGTTGTCCGCTCTCTATAGGTAACAATTTTTGACAAATCTTTTTCAAGTCTTAGGAGAATGTTTCTGTTGAGTAGATGACATTTTGAATTAAATTTGACATTTTTACACGTCAATACGACATTTTTACGCGTCAATACGACATTCTTAATGTCGTGGTGTCGGGTTATAATGTCGGCGACATCACGACATGATACCAATCAGCCACCATAGTCTATGGCTATCTGTTTCTGCAGAAAAAGCTTTAGTGGCTCTTATGACTGGTAATATTTCCCCCCGATTTCTTGTATTTTGTAGATCTATTTATAGCAATCTATCGTTGTCCCATTCCCTTTGCATGGTAATTATGCCGTCGCCCTTGTCCGTCCGGACATCACAATTTTTATCCGATTTTCACGAAACTTGAAATATAGGTCTATCTCCGAAAGGGCTCGGTTCCATTCGTATTGGCATATATCGCAGACCATAAATTCATGGATTATGGCCCCTGATTGTACAAAAAATCGCGTTTTTAGTTTGTGGACACTCACAATTTTGATCAGATTTTGATGATACTTGAAATGCATGTTTATAACCCAAAGATCTTATGGTTCCTTTCGATATTCGTCCATATATCGGATCGTAACTTCCTGAATTATGGCCCCTGATTGTACGTAAAGTCACGTTTTTAGGTTGTGGTCCCACTAGAGGTCACAATTATTATCAGATTTAAACCCGTTCGAATATATCACTGTTACACCATAATGTTGGTTGAGTTCAAATTACGTGAAAATCGAACCAAAATGGCCACCCCTCGTACGCAAATAGTGTTATCAAGGTTGTGGACACTATAGAGGTCATAATTTTGATCCGATTTTGATGAAACTTTAAATTTATGTTTATATCACAAAGATCTTGGTCCTCTTGATAATCAGCATGTCGGGTCGTAACTTCCTGAATTATGGCCCCTGATTGTACGAAAAATCACGTATTTAGCTTGTGGTCCCTCTAGAGGTCACAATTTTCTTCTGATTTTGATGAAATGTAAGTTTATAACCCAAAGATCGTGGTTCCTTTCGATATTCGCGTGTGTCAGATCGTAACTTCCTGAATTATGGCCCTTGAATGTACTACAAAAAATGACACGTTTTTAGCTTGCTGTTTATGTAGAGGTCACAATTTTTATCCGATTTAAAAAAAACGTGAATATATCACCATTACACCCTAAGATCTTGGTTCCTTTTGATAATCGGGTATATCCGAACGTAACTTCCTGGATTATGGCTCCTGATTGTACAAAAAATCCTGTTTTTAGCTTGTTCTCTATCCATCTGTTGAAAAATGTGGGCATATCCTGCCTAGCAGCCACTGGTTAACACATTTCATAAAACGTTTTCGACATTAAAGGATATAATAAAATGATCAGACATTAACTTGTCAAAGACATCCATATTATGAATAAGTTCATGATTACGGCAAGCAACCCAGTCCAAGGTGTGTCCTGATCGATGTGTCGGCTGAGTAATGGTCTGTACCAGGTTGTGAATATCCAAAAGCTCCCAGAGACGTTTTGTAAATTTGTTATTTGAAGAATCAAAATGCACATTAAAATCTCCAGCAATTAGGATGTTAACATTGCAATCAAATTAAATATATTTTTATTCCCATATTTACAATCAATACACAACAACAGTATACACAAATCATATACAGTAATCAAATGTTAATAACAAAATGACGCCCTTAATATTAGTTTCAGTACAAATGTCTTTTCAATGAATACTACAATTCCCTTTAACTTAAAATGGACACCATTAATTAGTTCACAACTTGATGTTGCTTATTACATTTAATAAGTTCACAACTTGATGTTGCTTATCACAATAACTATGTATTGTTTAATGGTCGAGAGCGAGACATTAAGTAATATATTGTAACAACATGAGGGCCGTGATGGCCCGAATGTTTTTACAATATATTACGCAATGTCTTAAGCTCGGACCATTAAACAACTTAAAATACAGACACTTGCACGTGCTTTGCAATGAAATACGTCACTCGAGTTCAATATTTTACAATATATTACGCAATGTCTTAAGCTCGAAACCATTAAACAACTTAAAATATAGACACTTGCACGTGCTTTGCAATGAAATACGTCACTCGAGTTCAATATTTTACCAAGTTACGCTTGGCACATTGCCCGTACGATTATTTGAAATAATGGTACTCCAACATCAAAGGATGACGTCACATCTGTATTTTAATGTTTTATAATGAACCCCTTAAAAAGTAAACAAGAGGGTGGGTGGCCCAATATTTTAACATGTGCTAGATCGATTGTACAGTCTTGTCATTGGGGCAAGTGGCATGGTTTTGATTTTCCACTTGTATGAGTATGGTTGCCTGTCCAACCTCATGGGTTTTCTCCGGGTCTCCCGGTTCCTCCCACAGCTAAAGACCCCTACGCACAAGCAACTTATCCAAATAAAATTGAACCATATAATAGTCTTGAAATGACCTAGTTTGTATCAAGTGGACTGAAATCTCTTTCTCTCTCTCTCTAAATAGAGTAAAGAACTCAAGGATGCTGATTTACTTTTTTTTAAATGAACACCATCAAATAGTTCACAATAATATACAGGTATGTGTTCAAAATGTACTATATTAAGCAACTTTAAAAGTTGATGCTCATGATCTAAATTGCTATATGGTCATTTTTTTTCAAAAGCCCACTTATGTAAAATATGTAGGAAATTGTGATAGCCATATTAATTGTATACATAATCTTTTAGTATAACAATTTAATTTCATGATAATAATTTAACAACTTGATCTGGTGTTCTGGGTACTATAGACTGAGGTTCTTTGTATTCATTTGTTGGTTTATAAATAGCTTCATACATCTGTTTATAGGCTTGGCATATTAAATCTACTGCCCTTCTCTTTGCATTATCTCTGAAATATAAATCAGGAATGCATTTTATGCTTATGCGTTGAACCGTTTTGTCTGTCTTCATAACTCAAGTCTGTAGATAAAGTCAATATTTAGAAATAACTGAAGGTGTCTTCAACAATCGTCAGTTTAAGCCGAAAAATAAATCTAAATTAAACCAACTTCTGCTCAACCATTACAAAATAAATATTTAATGGGCTAGAGCTTTCTCCATCACTAATTCATATAACATTAGGACAACCCAAACTAACGCTTTTAAATTAAAGAGCTTTATCTCCTTGAACCTCACCTCACTAAAGCACTGAGTATTAAACTACACTGTGGTAATGTTAAACTATCAGGACTGGCCAGATAACTATCAAATTTGTTCTGAAAATAAAAATAAAAATCAGTACATAAATCTTCTAGTTAAATACCTAAATTAAGAAAAATTTACTGTCACACAAAATATAACTGTAATTTGTTGTATGTACTTTTCTTGTACAAACTGATGGCGTAACTTAAAGAAAAAACAATAGCTCTCTTGAGGCTTTGTATAAGTAAAAATGTTCATCTTCCTTTGTGTTCCATACCAATCTAGTCTTCATTAGCAGAAAAGTAAGTAGTTAATTCCAGTTCGTTCCATACCAAAAAACAATCATATTGTCTTAAGAATGGGAACTCAGAAAGAAATTCTGTGGTCTCAACTCTCCATAAAATATATAGTGGAACATTTTTTTAATTTTTTTTTAAAAATGTGGAATATCTCCAGAAACAATTTAAAATGTAAAAACATTCTATGACATAATATACAGAAATCTAACATACCATAGCTGATTTAACAGTAATAGGATCCATTCCTTGTATACCTGATAATGGTCCCTATAATGAACATAAATACACACAAGTTTAACATGAAATTTTTACATTCGTATACAAAATATCACAGGCAAGATGACAGCACACAATTTTAATGCAAGGTCACATAATTTAGGTTACTCTTGGACTTAGTCACTAAGCTTAAGACTTTATAAAACAAAAGTCATTACTGAAAGTATTTCATAAGCAGATGTTAAAATCAAAAACTCTTATTCAAGAATGAGCGATCGACTTATGCAGAAGAGTGAAAAATGATCTAAACTGCTATATGGTCATGTGCCTTATTTGTTCATGTTATTATTGTCTTGGAGACGCAGTGTTTCAGTGAGTAAGAAGCTGACTTGTTCGTCTGGAGGTCCAAGTTCTCTCCAGGTGTTCCTCAGGATTTTTCAGGCATGGTTTCCTCTTGTCAGTAGTGCAGGATGGATGGCCTGACAAGGACAGCAATCTAGTCGTTCAGATGGGACAAAAAAAAAAACGAGGTTCTGTTTACACATTGGAATTCTGTGTACACATTGGCGTTCATGTTAAATAACCCTTGGACAGTTGGAATTCGATATAAGAGGAGGTCGTAGTGCCGTTGTCCAGGCAAAATTTCCTTAATGACACACTGTATGGCGTACACCCATCTTCATTAGCCCAGTCTAAGATGTTTAGATTAGCCCAGTTTAAAATGTTAAACCCCATTTCATTTTATTTTTGTCTTATAACATCTCAAAACACTATCCAGATAATGGGTTATTTACATATATACAATGTTGTGATAAACCAAAGCAAACAATAAACAAATCTAATGTTACCATAATAAGCTAAACATTCTGAGAAGTTATTGAAATAAACCTATTTTTAAAAATGAGAAATACTGTCAGGTAATATAAAAGTAATACCTGCGATGGTTGATAATTTTCTACTATACCATATATAGTTGATAAACCTACTCGCGTTAAAACAAATGATGCTTGTTCACTGATTAGAGTATCAACATGTGCTTCTATCTACAATCAATGCAAAGAAAACAAACAGACTAAATGTAGACATTCAAAGATAAAAGATTATGGGGTTAAGAATACATGTTGTGAATTAATAGAACTGCAATCGAGTGATACAAAATTGAGTCCTGTCGCGGTTCCGCCAGTCAGAAAATAGATAAGGTGTCAGCCGAATCGTGACAAAATCAATTGTTTCAGTTATGGTAACTGATCAGTTAGTGCATTCCTGTCCCCCGAAATTGTGTTTGAGGAACTGAGAAAATTCAATTATGAAATGTTCAAATAGAAGAGGATTATTTGAGAATAATTAAATTATAAAAGATAAATTTATACCTGGGCCTGTAACATTTCAAGTCTTGTATCTGTAAATTCATACAGAGCTAATGTAGATTGCATGAGATAAATACCATTAATCATATAAGCGGCCATATCTATACTGTTTAATCTGCTTGCCGACACTGAACACATTTGCAGCAATGGATCAACCACACATGACAAAATCTAAAATTAAACAGGCCAAGTCATCAAATGAAGCAAAATTATATATTTTTGACATCATTGCTTTCCACCCTACATAAGTCAAGGTGGCCAGGTGAGCATGGTGCTGGCTCACTAACCAGAAGATCCAAGGATTTTTCCAGCCTGTTTTCCACTTGTCGATGGTGCAGGATAGAGGGCTCAAAAGGAAAAGCATCTAGTTTTTCAGATGGGACAAAAAACAAGGTCCCGTATGTACCATTGGCAATATGATAAAGATTCACTGATGGTTGGAAATCAAAATAATAGTAGTACTTAGCTCTGCTATCAACGGAAATCCCATCTAATTTGGTTTCATTTTTGACTAAATTACAATAACAATGGGAATATTTTCTTCAGCTAGTTACTGTCTTCTTTAAAACTACTGGGTATTGTAAGTTTTCCCAAATTTAATTTTTGTCAACCTTGACAGTATAGGTTCAAGATTAAATGTTTTATTGTACAAGGTATATAATATATATAACAAATTCAATCATCTTTATTTATGAATATTTTAATGAATCGTAAGAATACCTGTTTAAAATCCTGTTTTTTATCATCTATAGGTACAACTGATGCATCATGACAAGCTAATACATCACGTAATAACTGTAATGTCTGAGTTAATGATGATGTGGGTCCTAGATCTGGAGGAGGCAATTCCACCTACAATATAAATTTTAGGTTTACTTCCATTAAAAACAAACCAAATTGAGATTATCCCCAAACCAGATACCAAAATATATATACGATCGTATTTCAAAGTATACTAGCAATGAAAAATACCATTACATTTCTGCAGCCCAAAATTTAAAAAGTACAGAAAATAACAGCTTACCCTGTCTAATAGTTTATTAGCATTACATGTTAAACTATTAAAAAACATCCTGTGGCTTAAATCCTGGATTTCAATCAAAGTAGACAACAAAGCTGCTTCATTATTAACTATTTGTCTGAAGAAAAACAAAGACAGTTGACCATTTGTTAAGTGACAGTTTACTAACAAAATGAAAGGGTGTTTACCATCTGACTCTTCTTCATGAACCAGGCTAATGCTGACAAGAATATGCCATGCAGTGTGCTATGATGAGAAACTTGCCAAGACAGCGGCACAACGAACTACTCTAACTTCAATTTCAACTGTCAGTGGATCTTCAACATGTGGTCTATGGCATACATGGGACCTCAATTTTTAATATCATTCCCACATCTAAATACTTTTCCTTGTCCGGGCAGTCTTTCCAACTGTCCTGCACCACTGACAACCATGCTGGAAAATCATTTCTACGGTCAAGTGATTAAAATATTAAGGTCACCAACTGTACTCGGATAATTTGCCTGCATTTCTACACAAGGCCTCTCCATGTCAGCTGTGCACATGTTACCGCTGACAATGACAATGGGAACTAGGTTTGGAAAATCCTGATGGTTCTTCTCTGACCACTAATTTGAGAAAACATTCATTAGATCCAACATTTCATTATAATATATAACGTGTAATACCTGATAGTATTATGGTAAAATTTGAGTAGATTATCAAGTTTATATAAAGTCACAGCATCTTGTTCTGATAGTAAAACTTGTTCAACTCGAACCTGAAATATTAAAGATGTCATTTTCAATATCATCATCTACTGACACTCTCACAATAAGCAGCAAGTGATCAGTTGTCACATTCCGTTTTCATTATAGCTGCTGATCGTTAATTGCATTTTTTCGAAATATATCTCATTTTTCACAAAAATAAATAAATAGTAGATTTATCTACTAGATAATCTTTTAACTTGGATTGAATCATCTTTAAAAGAGACCTAACAAATGATATCAGCTAAATTGAAACTGGCTTGTTTATATAGGTTATAGAGGAAACAGCCTTAAACCAAATTACAGAAGATAAGTTTCCAGGCAACGAAACATACACCCACACTAGCTAAATTGTCCAAGCGGTCGACAAGGGTTGTGGCATATACATTCTTTTGTAGGTAATTAGAGGCATTTACAAGACAATTTCATACAGACCAGATTTTAATTTTTGTCGTTTGAGGGTTCACAAGGTTCTACAAACTGAAACAAGGGCCTTAACTCTGGAAGTAATCTACAGAAATTGTTGAAATTTGACAGGCTTTCTCATTTTACTAATTTAAATAATGCATATAAATTTTTGTCATTCGAACGTTCACAAGGTTCACAAAATAAAAGAGCCATAAATCTAGAAGTAATTGATTTCATACAGATCGAATGATAACATTTGTCGGTAAAGCACTGATAAAGTTGAAGAAAGTGAAACAAGGGCCATAACTCTAGACGTAATTAAATAAGTATGATCTCAAGCCCAGGAAAAGTAACATATTTGTTTATCAAATAAAGAATAATATATCAAATTAAAAAGGATGAAATTCAAATGATGCATATAAATTTCATACAGATCGACAGATAACTTTTGATGATAGAGAGTTCACAAGGTGCAACAAAGTGAAACAAGGGCCATAATTCTAGAAGTAATTAACATAAATTGCTGAAATTCAATAGGCTTCTTCGCTCCACTAATTTAAATAATGAATATAAATTTCACAAAGATCGGGTGATAACTTTTGGCAATAGAGTGGTCACAAGGTGCAACAAAGTGAAATAAGGGGCATAACTCTAGAAGTATTTAACAGAAATTAGTGAAATTAAATAGGCTTCTTCATCTCACTAATGTAAACAACATATATCAATTGTAAAACAATCGGATGATAACTTTTGAAATTGTGGACGACCGACGGATGGGGGCGACGGTAATATACGTCCACATTTCCATGTGGGCGTATAAAATGACAAACATTTGCTTTAATATGTAGTGTCTTATATTATTCAAACTGTAATACTTCTCAAATAGAAAATGCTTACTAAATTTTCAAGACCTGTTAATTTGGATGTAAAAGGTAAAAATAATAGATGAGTCCCTTCAATGTCCTGTTACTTGATTATAATTTTCTTACCTTAAAGGGACGACATACACCTTCTGTAATATGTCCCAATACATCCTCAATCTGAGATTCTTGGACTATAATAATAACAATTAACATCTTGTATATGATCTTAACTATAATAATAACAAGTAGGCTTGTATTTTGTATCAAATAAGTATATCTCAAGCCCAGAAAAAGTAACATTTTTGTTTATCAAATAAAGAATAATATATCAAATTAAAAATGATGAAACGCAGATGATATCATTAAAGTAAAACTGATTTCTATATTTTATACCAACCATCACAGTTTTTAAGTAATGATTGAAGATATTCCTTTTCTGAAGCTGTTGCTTGATGAAGCCATGCCATCATATCACCAACATATCGTAATGGATCGTGGGAATGAAGTTCAATAGGTCTTGGAGTGCCCCCTGGACCTGAAAACATAAAACATCAAATATTGGGATATAAATACATTCCCAACTGATGAAATAATTTGAAACTTAAAGTTTATGGGATATTACAAAGTAACCTATAGAGATGGTGAGCAGTATCCAAGGTTCAATCTAGTAGGCTTTCTATGGTTTTCTTCACTGTTAAACAGCCCTTTGCATACGCAAATTTAAGACTGTACACAGATTCTTGTAAAAAATTTATATGTCTAGGAAAGCTTTTAGTTGAATTTGATGATTTTTATGATATTTTTCAATCAAATTTTATGATTACTTTATGATGTTTTCTCAGATTTTATTATATTTTTATCATTATTAAATATTATGATTTTTTTTATATATCTGCACTGCCAGTAAATAACGTATCTCCGGTCCATGAAGTAGTGTTCAGCCAGTGCTATGCAGATAAGAACATCCCACCAGTAGCACTGGTGGTATTAATAATCGCAGTCATCTTCTCCTATGTTCATATACCCACATAACATAGTGAAATTTTATATTTTTTATGATAGGCCTATTTTTCCATTTTAGTTTTATGAGAAATGATGAAATTTTATGAAAATATAAATGTTTTTATATTGTACGGTCCCTGAAATTTATGAAATAACACATTTGTCCAAAATGCATCATGCCGACTTGGGACTTAAATCTTATTTACATTTATATTTCCGATATTTTTCTTCAATTTTTAGTTTATAGTATAGGGGAAGTAACCCCAGTGGTAATTAAATGTTATTTCATCTTACATCACATTCACACAACTGCCCAAAAATTTTTAAAAACCAAACACATAAATGATAAATATTTCAGGAATTCAGATAACAAAACTTACCACCACGAGTCAATGCATCTATAAATCCACGAACAACGGCACTTCTTCTAGCAGTTCCAAACTCATCTATAGAATATCTGAAGATAACATTCATTAAAATCAATTAATAAATAATGTTGACAAGTTTGAAAAAGAATGTTTAAGACAAAATAGTAATGTAACTATTCCATTTCCCTTGTAATTATGGGTTAGGTTTATTCGGTTAAACAAGATAATAGTTTAATAGCACAGACTTACTTGAATAAAACTGGTCTGTCTAACAAAGCTTTAATTGCATTACATAGAACAGGTGATATGTCAGGTGAATCACCAGTCAGTGCTCGACATTCATCTACAATTATAAAATCAACATGAAATCATCCAACTACTGATATCTTGTTAACCTGAGTACATCGTAAGTAAATAATTCTTTAAGTACAGATTTCTTAATTTGGTTATTTTTCATAAAACTACCAAACAAATCCCTAACTTTTTTTTCACTGGAGACTGATGCCAGTAAGAGTTTAATTTTGTAACGAAATCAATATAAGATAACTGACTATATAAATTACTTACTTTGAGTCCATCTATAAAGTCTTTCATAAGCCGATTCCTGGTGTAAAGCCATTGATTCCATAATTTCAAGTCTGTAAAACAATGTTTTAGGAATATTATACTAAAGTGTATAGTGCACTTTGTTTTAAACGCTGATTAGTGTTGAAACAATTCTATAAATTCCAAAAATGTTTAAACCTATCGTTTTATACACATGGTTTACAACTTCCAAATTTGCTTGTGCTTTTAATAAAGAATTTATGAGGGGGATCACGTGGCTAAGTGGGTAAGATGCTGGCTCGCTAGCCTGGAGGTCGGGTGTTCGATCCCTGCATTGGCCGAGAAAGTTCATCCAGATTTTCCGGTGTGGTTCCCCCATGTCAGTGATGCAGGACGGAGGACCTGACAAGGACAGCTGTCTAGTTGTTCGGATGGGAGTGCACGTAAAAGATCCCTTGACAGTTGGAATTCGATATATAAGAGTAGGCTGTAGTGCCGCTGTCCGGGGAAAATTTCCCTCATAGCACACTGTATGGCGTATGCCCGTCTTCATTAGCCCAGTTCGGAGCAGAACAGTAGGACGTTAAACCCCATTTCATTTCATTCATTTCATTTCAAAGAATTTATGCAAATTTTTCCTCATAGAAAACTGCATAACACATGCCCGTATTCGATGCACAAAAGTAGGATATTAAACCCCATTAATTCATTATATTTCCTAGTTTACATACCCAGCTGTTTGTTGATTGGTGCGCAGTAGAAATTTACAATCACTGTGAATCTGTTTGACTCTTGCTAAAGCATTGAAAAATTCCTACGAGAGAAAAACAATAGAATCTATGTTCATAAAAATCACCATCATGTCTATTCATCCCAGAGCGTGCTCAAAGCACTACATATATAAACGCACACAGTGAGTTCCATTCACTTAAAAACAATACGTCAAGGTGAGGCAGTGAGTTTAATGGTATGATATTTCTGTGTCTAAATCTTAAAGATGCATATGTAAGATTTAGATAAAGAACTGGTCGTAATTCCTATAACAATTCTCCAAAAGATAAAACAAAATAAATATATAGAAAATTTAATTCAAATTACTTTATTCTGAGCAAAGTTATCACTGTCTGAAGTTTTGACAAGATGTGGCATAGACTGTTTATTATCATAGCAATTCACCATTTTTTAATTAAATCATTCAATGGCAACCATGTTTCAATCCATTTAAATCTCTGTCATCCTATAGTCTAGAGAGTTGACTATAGTCTTGTCATCTGAATAATTGTCTAAATAATAATTTATATAACATTTGAAGCCAAAATAATGATCTGCAATTGGCAGATTTAGCTCTTTCATAATAGTGTTGAAAATCGGATCAAGATTTGTGATCCGAATACTTTTGTTGGCTATCCGAATACTATTTGGATAATTCGGAGACGTGAAATTCTTGAACAAAATTACATCAAAAGTTCATATACTCATAATTTCTTACTTGTTTCAATGTTTATGAGTGTCTAGGTATGCCGAGTATGAAATCGTACTATCGATTTGCAAATTGTTTGAGCTGCGAAGAAAAAAACGTGCCTACCTTTAGCCGTAATTATTAAGACTATGATATCTCAAAAAATCAATGAGGTGAAGAAATATGTATAGTATAACTACTCCTGTAATCCGCAGCCCTCCCACTTATCATTTTGCTCAATCAACACGAATGGAAAAAAGAAAAATATAAACATGTGCCATTTATTCCGCCAAGGTCGTTTGCCTCATTCTGATAATCTACAACTATTGAACCAATCAGTGAGTGGGAATATACGTGACCTAGGTCGTTATGAATAAATTTCATTGCGGGAAGTCAAAACACGGTCTAAACTTGTATGCCGTAAATTAGCGCAGGGAATGAATGAATATTTCTTTTATTTAGACTAATGCATTAATAATTTTATTAGTTACTATCACTAAATAATACGCATAATGTTGACATTTATGCTCAGAGCTGCGTACGGTACGTGATCAATTGCATTTAGGAAAATTTCAAAGTAATCAGATGTAAAAATGGCTAAAAATAGAGCATACGGAATGTCAGAATATATTGTAACGAATAGTAAACGGATAGTAAAATGATTCGGATAACCCTTATTTTGTATCCGTTAACGAATATCTGAATAGTAGTTTCAACACTATTATATAATGCATCTTTAAACTAGCAAATTATTTCATTCCTGATCAAAATGTTCCAGAAAGAAAAATGTGCCCATAAAATGTGTAGAAGATTTGAGACATTTTCACATTTAAATAACTTACAGGATGTAAAGCTCCATCTCGTGTTCCACGAATAATTTTAGCTTCTTCGGATTTCAGTTGAAATTTATTCAGGAAAGCATCAGCAACTTGGGACTTCATTTGTAGTTTTTGACTAAACAATAATATGTATATCATTTATGTGGTGTAAATTTTAAAACCTCAAATAATGATAAAATCAATTACGTGAACAGCACAATCAACAGAAAAATACTTTGTTTTACTACATAAGATTGATTGTGTACAAAACTATAATATATTTCGCAAATATTAATCTTTCTACATGAAATAGAAGACTTGAATAATATATATGGCAGATTCTATTCACATGTAAATGAAAGTAGATAATGACTTTACAGAAGTCTTTCAAATCCAATGGGTTGTATTCTTGTTGTGTTAATTGGTGCAATGAAATAAATCAAAACTCAATTCATACACATTTTTTCTCTTTATTCTCAATGAATAAAATACTTCTAGTTCTACAGTTTTTTTTCAATTCATTTCTAAAATAAATTATAATTTTACCTTTCAGCATGAAGAGTTGTGGTCTGACTGATTAAATCATGTGTTTGATCTTTGGCTGCCTGCAAAAAAAGGATAAAATGGAGAATCAGTCTGTCACTAGTTAAGCGCTCAGTTGATTCTCACATCATATCAAGATGTGTTATATTTTTCAACACAGAACATCTTAAAGATATTTTCTAGCTGAAGGAGTCAATTAATTTTACTGTAAGAATCCCTTAAATGAAATGCTTACCTTAAGTCTGTTAGTCATATCTTGACAACATTCATTCATTTCTTTTACATCAGAATAGACACTATCCAGTTGCTGTAAGAAATACCAATAAAACAGAAAATTACAGTATTTTAGTTTTTAATATATTTCTGTTCTATTCATTTTCAAGCCTTCCTTGCATATCTTTAAAACATCTAAGAAAGAGAAGATGGTGATGGAAAAAGTGTTAAGTTGGCCTAATTGATACATTACCTCCTTCACAGCCTGAAAAGACTGTAAAAATTCTTCATTTATAGCTAAACTTCTCTTTTCGATATCACTTCGTAAATTTCTTCTAGATCGCAGATTATTTTCTGTAAAAATGGTTGATAAAGCCTTGAGAGCTTCCAGCATGTCCTTTAAAAAATTTTTATTCAAAATTAATCTTTTTAATTGGAATGAAACTTATGTCTTAACTTTTCAAAGAGAAATTATTTTTAAGCATATTGAGACTACCCAGTTGAGCATAACAAAATTTTTATACCGGTCACTGTTCAGTTGGTAAACCTACAAGGTATTATAACATACATGTATAGACTTATATTTCACTAGAGTGATTATCACAAGGGTTGGCAAAATACAACCACTCACATAGGGCTGTACGATATTGCAAAAAGGGACGATATCGATATTGGCATTTTTTTCAACGATATAGTTAAATATCGCGATATTTAATAATAATGTCACTTTGCTATTAAATAAATTAAATATAAATGCATTAAAGCTGACTACAGTGTGAGTAAGAATTGTGGGTAAGAATTGCTTTATTCATACACTTTGCTTTTTTTATAACCGGGAATATAAATTTATTAAAATGAACAAAACAACGTCCTTTTTGGTTAAACACGTTTCAATTCTTTTTAATACAATAACAGGAGACATTACTTATGCCTGTACATATAATGAAATTAAATACAACCGCTGATGTTTAAAAAGCGTCTGCTTGTGACCTTGTGTAAGAAAATTCTCAAATATGAAGTGCAGCGGAAGTAAGTAGATGCGGTCTTCAAGTCTTGTATTGTAAGTTTAAACAGTTTAACAAATACTAAATGATCCGGACTATCTTCCTTTCAAGCATTTGATTGGCTGCGGTATTCCTGGCTTAACAGTGACAGTAATCTATTTATAGATCGTTTTATTCTTGCTTTCAGAAATTAAGTTTCGTAGAGTTTTCTAAAAATATTCGTTTTTTTTTTAAATATGACAACCTATTTATAGCCTGGTAATAAGCCGCGGTAGTGGGAAATTTCAGGCATTTAGTAGGCCTAAGCTTTACATGTAGTAACAACTGACAATTTATTGTCGACTAAAAACAAAGCGAGAGAGTGAGAAATGGGGTTTAACGTCCACTCGACACAAACTAGGTCATTTCGGGACTAACATATGGTTTAATTTTATTTACATAATTCGACTGCGCGTAGGGGTCTTTAGCAGTGGGAGTAAACCGGCAGACCCGGAGAAAACCCACGAAGTTGGACAGGCGACCCTACTCCTTGCCACGTACAACCGGGAATTCGAAACCACGCCAGTCGACTCAATGACAGACTTTATGATACAGCGCGCGCACGCTAACCACTCAGCCATCCAACGCCCCTAAAAACAAAGCAAAAGTAACGCATACACAATGCAGTGAAAAACGGCTACGGACACTGCACAAGTGTTTTCAACATTTAACGATTCTCAAAACATTAGTTTTATTATAGTTTATTGCCGTCGGCTAATTTCCACTGCTGTATAGTGTATTTATGATCTATTTTTATGATAATTTTTTTCGATATTTGAAGTTTTTGCCGATATTCGATAAACCACTATATCGACGATTTTTGGCCACATGATATCGTAGTTGGGTCTGAAAATACCATATCGCGATAAATGACTATATCGAGAATATCGTACAGCCCTACACTCACAGACAAGAACTTGTTAAAACTTTGGTCTATCAAATGTGTTTTAATTGTTTTTAGTTATGACTCGGCACTGGATTTATCAGTGTAACATTATGATCTTTAAAGTAGCAGTGAAAAATTGTTTTCATGTGTGAAGCTTCTTGGAAATGAAATAATACATAAATAAAGTCATAATACAATCAAACTGGTAATCACAATGCGTTCATTAGTAAGAGAATAGTAATGCTTTTACATGTACTATTTTTCAAATAGGATACAGAGTAATTATAGCTGGACAGGCTAGTAGATCTGGGTAGGTAGGTACTGGATCAGGAAGATGATACCAGCTTCCCCCCCCCCTCCCCCTCTGCACCCCTCCCCCCTTAGTTACGGGCCTGGTGAGTAGTGCACTAGCTCATTATCCATAATCCAGGAAGTTTGATGATTAGGCTAAGTTAAAGTATGTTAGTGTCTAGAAATGTTTAACGATACATTTAAGTGTAGCAAGTTAATTAGTGTCTAGTCGTTTGTACGGTATGGAAAAAAAAACCTGCCAGTTGGAATAATGGACTTCACCAGTAGCCAAGTTAACTTACATTTGGTTGAATCCGTACGTGTATATACTAACCTTGTCATTGTCGAGTCTTGTCTCTAAAATTTTATTTAATTTACGTGTTAATGGATTATTTGCTTGGTTTGTTGACACGTCGGAATGATCCTTGTCGGCCATTTCAGTGGTTTACTAGATTTATGGATAATTTGTAGAATTTAGAACCTCTAAATATTTCTGTTTTTTATTCTTTTAATATATATAGGTTGATAGCATTTTATTAATTACAGTAAAAAGAAAATTCGCCATGATGTAAGTAGATTTCTTGAACCATATATACAGTAAATTAATTTCATTTGTAGGAAGTTCAAATCCATGATCAAACTAATTCACTAATCAAGTGCAAACCGGAAGTTGAATTTAGAATAATGGCGGCTTGTTCGATTAAACTGTTGTTTATCAAATTATAAAAATACAGCTCTATATCTTTCTGTAAAGAAGACTCAAAAGTGGATATTTGTTATGTCTGGGAAAGGGAAACATGGTATGTCAAAAGATGATTCAGACGTCTTTAACTTTAACCTGTCCCCCCCCCCCTTGTTCCGTGCTGACTTTATAAGTTTATTGTAATTGTTATTTTATAGCCTATAGGCCTATAGCAATATGAATATAGGCCTATAGGCTCTTTATTTATACTCATTCATACTGTCACGACCATCATATGATCATATTCTATAGATTTAAATAATGGACCTTGTTTATTGGTGAATTCTGCCAAGTAAATTCTGTAGAGTTACCCCCTTTGGCCTCTGCCAATCTTCAGAACAAGGTTCTCTTTAATAATTACTAAATTAGGAATGACACTACTACAGTATACCGCCCCTAATACCGAGTCACTTCTACTAACCTAAAAAAAAGTGTAGGTCTTCTTTAAATAAAAATATGGCTAATAAATTTCCACGCTGAAAACCTGGGTTTTCTTTAGTAACCACAGAAAATACATGTAGAACTTAGTATGTTAGTGTCTAATAGGCTACATCTGGTAATTTTCATTTGATGTATGTGAAATATTATTGTCTGCAAGTACCATATCTGTATTTCTGAAAAGTCTTATAATAGCCTAATGAGAGAAGTCCTGCTTGTGTATGTTTGAAAAATATTAATAAGTAGTCATTTTTGTAAGCTAGTATATCAGTAAGCTTGTTCTAAATTTGTTTCAGCTGAAGTTGCTTCGGCAAGAAATCACCTTGGTGCTACGCTACAGAATCTGGTGGATCAAAAAGATGATAGGTAACAAATAAATTTCATTCATTATTTAAACTGAAAAAGCACTGCAAAAACAGTGAATAATTTAATGTTGGTATTTCGTATATAAACTGCTAGAACTGCTAGTATATGGTAAATGACAGAAGCATTTGTAGTATTTCAAAATACCCAAAGATAAACATACATATCCAAATTATAATTCAATTATTAGGATAGTTTCTTTTAACTCTGGTTTTAAGATTTTTAAACAAAAAGTGATTTGAATTTTTTAAGTCGGAATAGATTTAAATTACATGTATCTGTATGTCATGTGATTGATTTTTTTTCATGTGTTTTGTAGTCAGCCTTCTAGTGATGGAGAGGGATCAAGTCATATAGATATTTCAAGTCCAAGGTAATCTGTTTAAAAATAGACACTAACTAACATATACCCAAACAATGTCCCAGGTTTGAATAACTGCGATCCATATGGGCAGTTAAAACTGCTAGGATTCTTTAAGCTAAGTTTAAACAAATGTAACATCTGCAAGTCTTATCAGGACATTATGTCCTATGGGATGCAAAAGCACAAACAAAGTATTCCATGTCTGCTCATACAAACTGGGTTTGTATCAAACTGAACAATGCGTGAGACAATAAACACATTTCTTTTATCAAAGCTAACACATTAAGACTATTCTTGTTGTACTAGAGAGGCATCAGCCAAATTTTTTTTTCATAATATATTACATCTGGTATGTCTTTTTTTCTTTTTAGAACGCTGAGTTCCCCTTCAATATCCCCACGAAAATCATTATCAAAATCAAATCGAAAAAGAAAGCGGAAAGATGATTTAGGTAGTCTGGGATCAGGTCAGCCACATCGTAAGTAGAAGAAAATGAAACAGTTCTCATTATTATTATTATAAAAAAGACTTCCAAATAACACTATTTCCAAAAAGAGTGCTGAATAGCAATTTATAATAAACGAATACCGGTAGTAGAAATGTAAATAATAAGCAAAGACAAAAAGAAATATATGCATTCAGTAAAACTGTCAAAGACATAAAAAAATTTTAAGAGTAAAATATAAATTGACATTTAAGTCCATTCCGAACCAATTGGCGGTTATGAAAAATACAATATAGTTATAAAATATTAATAAAAATTAGTATTTGCTTAAAAGTTAGTTATTTTCAAACTGTACTTTATTAATTGTGCCATGAAAATAAAAGCATAGCTGAAATAAAAACATAATAGACTATTTAAACAGCTGTGATAGATAAAATAAAATTATCTTGTTCTGTAATCTGTAGTCTTTACATTTCATGTAAAATGGATGATCTGTTGTTTAATCCTGTAATTTTGAACATTCACTAACAGATTGATTTTAGAGCATGTGATTTAAACAGTAAAATCATGTTAAGATAATCTCACTTTGGATTTATGTCAGATTATTTATAAGTATATATGTTATGAAGTAATATTCTTGTTTATAGACACTTATGTGATGAAATTATTTGACCGTAGTGTTGATCTAGCCCTGTTTGATGAAAACACACCACTATATCCTGTATGTCGTTCTTGGATTAGAAATGATCCACAGAATAAAAACATACAACCAGCACCATTACCTAAGTCACCATCTCCTGTACCAGATATTAAACCTGGTGATGATGATGAAGTGAGTATTTTAGAGTATGATTAATTTGTAGTTTGGTGTTTACACAAAATGTAATGAAAAGTATGAAAAACGTGGTTTTATATACACATGTTGAAATGTGGTTGTATATAGTTGTTACTCCTGTCCATCTGTTGGTTAAGAGTATAAAATTGTCATCTGAATGTTTTGAAATTTATGTATGTGTTCATGGGATAAACAAAGTCTTGATTTACAATGATTACTTATAATTACTGTCAGAGTGCCCTTAATCTTAATTACATAGAAAAGATTTTGTGTCCGTAAGCTCAAGTGGTCCAAGCTTTGTGTGCCATGCCCATGAGTTGGTTCTCATGATTATACATATCTTGTCTCCTCTATACTAATATACTAATGTGGTTGGTTTCAATAGCCAATATGTCCTAGTTGGTTAAAGTTGACATTAAAGTATTTAAAGCCCATGTTTTTCTTTCCACATTTAGATTGATCGCTATCCTGATGTTCATGAATTGCCTCCACCAATAAAACAAGAAGTTTCTGATATTTATATGGACATGAGGATACCCTCACCTGTACCACAACCACGAGAACATATAGATATACATTCTGTAAGTAAAATAGTTTGTGCCATCAAACTACCTTTGCATTTATTACAGAAAGTAAATTTGACATCTCCACCATGATCTGACTATTTCAAGATGTACAGATAGTCCATACTGTATTCCTTATTTTTACCATGTCACAGATTTTCCAGATACAAAATCCATGTATCAGAAAAAGTTGAATACATTTATTAAAATTTCATTTACAGTTATTTGAGCGGAGCACAAAAAGAACATATCCGGGTACACTATCATGGTCATGTAAACAAACATTACGCAAGAGCTAAATCTGCCTATTACAGGTCCCGCTTCATTAGCCCAGTTCGGAGCAGAACAGTAGGACGTTAAATTGTTCTATAAACAATTAATTAAACATTTATTAACATGAAAAGACCTTATCAATGCTCATTGATGATTTAATCTAAAGATAGGTTGCCAGGCAACGAAACATACGCCCACAGCAGCTAAATCGTCCGGGCAGTCAACAAGAGTTGTCACATATTTTTAATTTTCGGTAATGAAACATTTATAATACACTCAAATCTGATTACTCTAGGAGTAATTATCGTAAATCGCTGAAAATCAAAAGGCTTCTTCGTCTCATGACCTTAAACACTGTGTATAAATTTAAAGTCAATCGGATATTAACTTTGACCTCTAGAGCGTCCACAAGATTTTTCAAAGTGATTAAGGGCTATAACTCTGACAGTAATTATCCGAAATTGCTGAAAATCAATAGGCTTCTTCGTCTCATGACCTTAAATACTTTGAATAAATTTAAAGTCAATCGGATATTAACTTTGGCCTTTAGAGCGTCCACAAGATGTTTCAAAGTGATCAAGGGCAATAACTCTGGCAGTAATTATCAGGAATTGCTAAAAATCAATAGGCTTCTTCGTCTCATGACCTTAAATACTGTGTATGAATTTAAAGCCAATCGGATATTAACTTTGGCCTCTAGAGCGTCCACAAGATTTTTATAGTGATCAAGGGCCATAACTCTGGCAGTAATTATCGGAAATTGCTAAAAATCTATAGGCTTCTTCGTCTCATGACCTTAAACACTGTGTATAAATTTAAAGTCAATCGGATATTAACTTTGGCCTCTAGAGCGTCCACAGGATTTTTCAAAGTGATCAAGGGCCATAACTCTGGCAGTAATTATCGGAAATTGCTGAAAATCACTAGGCTTCTTCGTCTCAAGACCTTAAACACTGTGTATAAATTTAAAGTCAATCGGATATTAACTTTACCCTCTAGAGTGTCCACAAGCAATTGTGGACGCCGGACGGACGGGGGCAACGACAATATACGACCACATTTCAATGTGGGCGTATAAAAATGGATAGTCTCGATTCGAGACTCATACTTCTCGCAGTGTTTTGTTTGATTATACCTAATCCCACTTAACACTGCTGTAATGGAAGCAAATTTCTGTTCCAAATTATGACTGGTCAATAGTTCAATTAACAACCAATAGCTAACTGCGAAACAATATTATTACGCTTTAAACAGAGCTCCAAATTGGACCAAATATGTTTACGTAATGTTACCTCATGACTCACGATTTTATTATGCCCAATTAACCAGTGCATAGCAGAATATTGCAGAAAAACTAATTGCGTGACAAACGAGGCTATCAACACGGATAAAATGTAAACAATACTGTTTGGAGACAAACAATACTTTCACCGTTTTTAACACCTTAAATCACAGTCCAAAGTTTTAGGGAAGACCCCAGATTAAACGAAGGGCTGTCATTTTGCTTTACTTGGGACAGATTTGATTGAACAGGAAGAATAGACACACTCCCTCCAAAGCTCAACTATCAGAAGCCAATCCAGCAATGGCCAGAGAGTGATTTCTTTTTCCATTTCTTCAGGAATATGTTTGAGACTATGCTTTTTAATAATGATGAAATTTTCAGCATATTCCTTTACATTATCTAGTTAACTACTATACTAAGTGAAAACTGCGAGCTCTTTATATAATCTATCATAATGTACCTTTAATGCAGTATGTAGTCCATTTATATGCCAGTTCCCTACAACAGACACAGGATGTTACAAAAAATACACCAAATAGTCTGGTGTAGAGAAATATGAGGACACCAGAATGTAACCAGAATGTAAGTCTCATAAAATAATGGGCAGTTCAAATCAAATTATTTATTCTGTGACTTCACAGACGTCATCAGTTTTATCCAAGATAACTTTTTATGGTCTGTAAAACATTGTAATGCTGTTTTTTAGTCTGGTGAAGCTCCTCCACCTGAACAGTTATTGTTAAATCATATGGCAAGATGGAAAGAAACAAGATATAAGTAAGACCCTTGTTTTCTTTATTAACAGACATTATCAATTTTATTAAGAAAACAAAAAGGTCTTTATATTTAAGATAAATTTAAAAGATAAATTGTCCCAAAAGTATTTATCGGGTGGTTACTTCCAATAAAAATATGGCAAATTTGGTATATGGAAAGTATAGACACCCAATCTTACTAGAAAAATACTGGATTACCCGAAAAACACCCATGGGGCAAGCACTGGGCAAAAATGTCAGGGTATGTTGTGTGCTAGCTTGACTGAGGGAGCCCTCGATAAAGTGAGATGACAGACATGGCTTCTAAGAACAGTTTATTTATAGAAGTAGCTTGAGGTATCTCCCCGGAATACAAAGTTTTGAGAGGGATTTGAAGCATATTTTTTATAGATTAATTAGTTTGAATATGGTTTTAGTCCAAATATATCATCAAATCACACAGTTTGTACGCCGGAAAGTATCTTTAATCTCATCAAAAATCCAAGCACTAACATAGTTTAACATATACTGTACCACACAAGTGAGTTCATCTTCTTAGATATCACTCCATCGGAAATGTGATTTTTGGTATGGTTGTAGGCTGCACAATTACTGATATAAGAAAATCAACCACAAATCACGGAGGCCATAACTTTACAGTGAAACGTTGACACAAGGGGTAAAAATGAAAATTCTATAACATTTGTCCACCTCCAGGAGCAAGGAGATAAGCCTCTTGTAATGGTTATTGAATTTCTTTATATTTCAGATGGCGGACGTCTGCATTTAGTAATGAAATGAGGTATGCTGACAGTATGATTATACTGAAGGGCATGTATGAACGGCAATGTATGAAAGATGGATAAAATTGTATATTAACTTTGATAATTTGTATGTATTGTTTGTCATTAAGTGTAAAATATATATGTATTACCATGAATTATTTTCTTTGTGATTTATCCAATCTTCTAAAGACATCATCAATAGCTAGCTGCTTGTGATGTCCCCTGTCTCATTCCTAAAGTAAATAACTACTGCACAATTTCTTTTTTTTTACATCTAGCAATCAAATTGTTTACCAGTTTTATTCCCGCCTCAATTAGGAGCAGAATTATTAGTCCAAGCAGAAAATGCTGATCATCGAACCTGGGCAAGACATTAACCTAACAAACTTACATATCAGGTTAGAACATTCTACCTCAATTAGATGCAGAGTTATCGTGTTCTAAAAGATGTCTCGGATGAACAACTGCTTAACCTAAGCAGAAAATGGTCATCACCAAACCTGGTTAAGACATTCACCTACACTGAGTGAAAACAATGTTTCCCTCTATTAGAAGTTATTGTGGCGGACAATTGCTTAGCATAAGCAGAAAATGTTCATCATCGAAACCCAATCAAGGCATTCCCCTAACAAACAATTACACCAAGTTTTTAAAAACATTCTAGCTTTATTGTGGCGGACAGGCCAGTGGGGGACAATAAAAGACCAGACCAGTGACTTTCTGTGCTCCCAAAATATATGTAAGTTTGTCCCAGGTGAATACTTCTAACTGAATTGGAAGCAGAGTTATTGTGTCCAACAATCTTTCAGTAAAGTGATTTATAATTTATGATGTAAATAATGCAATCACAAGCCTTGAGACATAAATAGGGAGCCCCATCATAAATAAATATCTTTAAATATCTTGACAATTACACCACAATACTTACATATATACCAAGCCTTAAATCAGTTTCGCACATTTACAGTCACTAAATAAACGGTCATGTTGTACTTTTAAAAGCTATGACCTTTTAACCATCCATATATAATAGACTGAAAAATGGTTACGAGTGTCGGCCATAACATTCGGGCACTTTTGAGTAAAAAAATAGTTTACGTTCCCTTGTTCTGAAATTAGTTTCGCTTAACTTACGACAGAACAGGAAATTAGACTGATTATTCAGAAATCACCAACCAAGTCTTGCAGTCTCGATCCACTACCAACATGGTTGCTGAAAGAATGTCTTGACGAAACTGTGCCCATAATCACTCACATTGTAAACCAATCCCTGGAGGAGTCTAAAGTTCCTGAAAGCATGAAATATGCCCTAGTAACACCATTGATATTATGGCCACAGGTTATGCTGAAGAAATGCAGTCAGCGTACTGAAGCCGACAGAGCACCGAAACTGCACTTGTCAGAGTACAGAATGACATTTTGGAAGCTGTTGACATCAGTGGAGCTGCCATTCTAGTATTGTTAGATCTATCGGCAGTTTTCGACACCATTGATCAGGCCATCTTGCTGCAGACTCTAAACAAGAGATTTGGTGTCACTGATTCCGCCTATGACTGGCTTCAGTCTTACCTAACAGGGCGAATGCATGCCGTGAAGACAAAGTACAGCGTGTCCGCAAAAGTTGAACTCTCTTACGGAGTTCCTCAGGGATCCGTCCTTGGGCCAGTCTTGTTCACCATATACACCTCACCATTAGGAGACATAGCCCGTCGTCATGGTTTATCAATCCACCTCTAAGCAGACAATACACAGCTATATCTAGCGTTCAAACCCACCTGCCAGAGATCTATTGACTCGGCCGTCACTCAGATGTCACTTTGTGCAGATGATATTAAACAGTGGATGTCTTGCAATTTACTGAAGCTAAACAGTGACAAAACAGAACTAATAGTCTTCAGTTCTAAATCTGTACGACAGAGTTTGGAGTTTGAATCTTCCGCCTTTCCCAACTGGAAGCCATAGCATAGAACCGGCACAGGAGGCGAGGAACCTTGGATTTGTGTTTCAGTCTACTCTGTCAGCTGAATCACACATAAAAAAAATATGCAGCAGTTAGTTATTATTAACTAGTCTACCGTCTGATTGACAGGCCAGGATAATCAAGACTACTGTTTTACGAAACATAACAGAAAGCTGGAACAACAAACTGAATTTAGAAACACGCACATTAGGCAACTCAACAATTATTCTAAGAACCTTGTAAAAGTAAAATGAAACTACTGCTAGTATCATGTTCTTGCCTAACCCGAGTGTTTCAGAGATATTATTTGTCCTAAACCAAAAGATGCCGCTCCTAACGGTATAGTTATGATAAAGCAATTTAAAAAATAAAACAAACCTAATTTCTAAAGCTGCTGTAATAACCAAAAAGTTAAATATTACTGCTATTCAGAATCGTTCATAATAGATTTTTTACAGCTGTAATAGTTGATAGATGTGTAGAGAATTTCATGTGTGATGGCTATATATAGACTGCGCTGAGTGTTGCCGTACTGTGTGACTAGCCAGAAATCACTTCGAAACAAGCTACTGAAGTATGCACATTCGCTGTGTCGAGTTCAACGTTCAGGGAATATGGAAATTTTCGCTGCACAGGGCACCCTAACATAAACCATGAAATAGATTCTTTGTTTTGTGATAGAAATTCAAATTAACAATTCTTACTTTACCAGTAAATGGTTACCCCAGGTCCTAACCAAATGACTAATTTTATAAAGTTTTGAACAATTTTGTCAAGGGGTCTTTCATGTTTCTATTTCACATGATGCTACAAGTATAAACTAAATATCATTTATATCACTTTATTTATTAATCAAATAATTTCTGTGCCTCCATATCTTCTTCATCAATGGTTTCCATGGGAGTTTTATATTCATTTATCACAGGTGGGGATTCAACGTGGGGGTTATATGTCCATTTAGGAAACATGCGTTTATATAAGTTCATTAAAACAGTATCTTGGGATTTTAATCCACCATCAAAAACACATTTCATATGACCATGTGTACCTGAAAAAGAAAATCCAAATTTTAATTGTTTAATACATGCAAACTGTTCCAAACTGAAGATGCGAAAGTCTTCATTCAATAGTGTCAAAGAGGACTTCATGATGACCTAAATGACAAATCTAGTCTAGCTAGACTACTCCCAATTTTTTTAACCCACTAACACAGATGATACAAAGAAGGGCATATCCCTCCCTGTTACAAAATATTGAGTGATTTTTGAAGTGGCATCTGAATTAACATTTATGAAAATAGATGTATGTGTAATTGTTTTTATTTCTGCACTGAAAATAAAACTAAACAGACAGACAAAATATAGTTGTGTATGTAAAGTTTCACAAAATATTGAATAGTTTTTAAGACTTGACCCAGAAAAGAAGCACACTCCCAGACTGAGACTATATCCATAGAAATGAAAACAATTGTTTTTCTTTTTAACATTCTAGAAAGTTTCAAAAAGAAATGCTGGATGGTTCTTGCAATTATCTTCAAAAACAACAAACACCTACAGATTAGACTTAAGTTTAATTTTATGCAGGCAACCCCCCCCCCCCCCCCCCCCCAAAGGAAGAGTTTTGTGCTAAATTACTAACAGTTTCAAGTTCAGCTCCAGAAACAAAAGGGGACAGAAAAATATGAATGTGATGGCTATTTTCCCTTACATTATATTATGTTATATTTAGCCTATTCGTATAGATGTTTCTAATGTTGGACAACATCACTGGTGAAATTAAAGTTAATATTGTCTTACCTAAAGCTTCCTTTATGTGTCCTCTTCTTCCCCATTTAGTTCTTAATTCTACAGGTTTAAACCAATATATATCCTCTACAAAATACCATAATACATTGTAAATTAATCACATTTAAAGTTTACCTGATATATTGTGTTATATACCTCACACACCAAACAAAATAATCTGTAAAGAACATTATATAATGTTTGCCATCGGAACTACTGAGATATATAGAGAATCTCCTACAAGTCTTTTTTGATATCAAAAAATATCAACACAAGTCGATAAAGTAACAAAAAGTTCAACTGGAGTTTAATGGCAAACAGTTTCTACGTTATGAAAATATATATATCAAAGTACAGTTGTAATGTAAATATTTACATTAAACATGGATTGGTTGAAGATTTTAATATTAATTATGTTTCAGAAAAAAAGCTATTAATTACTGTATATAATTTCTCACTACCCCTGTGGTGTGCACTTAAATCTCTTTTTGATGCAAGTCTTTTCTTTTGACCAATTTGGCAAAATCAATACATTACAAAACAGCCACAGAATAAAATAAGTTGAGAGATGAAACCTAGAACTGAATCTGTCCAAGAGAGGGATTCGACTGTTTCATATTAAATCATTAGTATAACCCAGTGGTTCTCAACCTTTTTTTGCCAACGGTACACTTTGGAACACATGAAGAAATAGCGGCACACCTGGCTAAATATATATGAAAAATATCTGAATTTTGCAAAATAAAAACATGGTAAGTCAGACGACATACAACCGTAGACAGAGACTACCCATAGACACATAGAATGACTAAAACTAAATGAAGAAAAAACACGCTATGAACTTATCAGTGGATATTCAATTGGGATCACGTGTTTTTCACATTTTCTTAGTGTGCCGTTCAAAATTTTGCAGCACACTTAGGAAGATCTCGCGGCACACTGATTGAGAATCACTGGTATATCCTGTGTCATATTTTACCTCTGTTATAAAACAAGTATCTTATTACAGCAGATCTTTTATGTATTTTTTTAGGATGTCCACTGAGTACTATACGTTTCGCTACAATTCTGTCAGGATTCACTGATAATAGTGAACCTGTAGCCACAAGATCGTGTGAACCTAAAAAAATAAATGTACAGTTCATAAAAACACAAGAATTAATTTTGAACCCTGGAGAGATTAGCCAAAACATTGGTATTTTATGGCTGAAATTAGGATTATAGGTTTAATGGATCCAGAGCATGACAGATGTCTAAATAAGTCTCAGACTTAGGCTGTCAGGAAATGAAATAAACTTCCACTGGCAGCTACAGCTAAGTCGTCCAAACAGTTATGAGCTAAATGACTCATAAAAATTACCAAAAGATCAGATCAGAATTAAAGCTTATCAATTTGAGAATATTGAGAAAAAGGCATTGAATTATATATAAACACAATATAAACAACTAACCTTCTGGTGTGTGTTGAAACACTAGGACTGGTACAGGAGCAAATGTTATAGGAGCATAAACAGTAGCAACACAAGTTGTATCAGCAGGTAGAAAACGTTCAAACTACAAAAACAACAAAACATGCCAAATATTAAACTGATTTAAAAATCATGATGATATACTGCTTGGAATGGTTCAAAACAAGCTATCAGTGATTCACTGTGAAGCTGATGTCCACCGCCGAAATCACGAAATAAATAGATGACACATATTAATCAATTGCAAGTTTTAAGAGGATCTGTTAAGAAATGCAGCCTGTGGGTGAAACACGACACACACAAAAATTGTGTGTAACTCTGTTCCAGGGGGTCAGGCATGCACCAAAAATAAGAGGTCATCCTTTGGGCATAAGGAATAAGTATGAAAAGTTTTAAAGATAATCGATTAAGAATATTGCAGCCTGTAGGCGACACAGACAGACAAAAAGAAAATAGGTGTGGCTCTGCCCCTGGGGGTTGGGCATGCACCACAAACAATAGGGATATTCCTTAGGGTATAAGGAATAAGTATGCAAAGTTTCAAAGATGATACTTTAAGAAATACGGCCTGTAGACGACAAACAAACAAATACAAGAAATGGATGTGGCTCTGACCCTGGGGATCATCCTTAGGGTATAGGGAATAAATATGTAAAATTTCAAGACGACTGGTTAAGAATTGCGGCTTGTAGGCGATACACAGACACACATACACACAGTATGTGGACATATAAAAATCATGTGTCAACAAAATATCATACTCCACAACATAATTATTACCCAGGTGTCAAAAATAACTTTAATAACCATCTTTACCTCAGAGCTCTCTATCGATGGCGACACCAGTGACAGAGAAGGGACTGCCTGGAGAAATATTTTTTAATTCAACTGCCGCAAGCGCATTTTCCTGCTATTCTAGCCCATGAATACAACAATGTGGTTCAGTATAGGACTTGAATAGGGCTGGAATAGCAGTAACTTCAAATTTTCCAATTGTTTTGCAACCGAAATCCCACTCTATGCCGAATTGAATTCCAACCAGCCAGTCAGACTGTTGCAGCCAGAGCCTTATATATAGAGACTCTCTATATGGCGCCCATGACATCAGTTGGCCAGACTCTCTATTCTTACGTTGCAGACAGATCCACAGTACAGCGTGTGACCGAACAAATGTATTTTTATGTTCACTCAAATGTTAGGGTAGACAACTCTCTCTCCACTAAGACCAAAAAACAGAATAATAATAATATTGATAATAAAAAAAGGGATACCTTGGATACCCAATTCAAGTCTAGAATCCACAACCATTAGTTTAACAATCCTACCCTCTGTTATACCAGCTACCCTCTCTAATATATCTTCATATATCTTTTGCCATTATTGTGATAGATAGAGATAGGTGAAAAACAGAAATCACATATCACTTTGGTTATTACAGAACGAAAAGTCAATAAGTTGTATTTACTATGGACATTGTGATTCGCAGCATGGGACTGAGCAGTAACTACTATTTACCTTGTGTTTATTACCCGTTGTGTGTTGTGAGAAAATAGGACAGGCTGTGAAACGGCGGAAACCAACATGAAATATTAATCTGTCTTTAGATTTAATTGGTTGGGTTGCTGTAGCATATTTTCTAATAGCAAAATGTAGTAGTGACATCTTCTGTTCATGTGGTAATATACCAAACAATATGACTGGAGTACCTGGTTTATAGCTTTCTACAAATTACATAAATAAATCATTAAATATGGTATCATACACTCAAACACAGTCAATTTCTAAAATATTTTTGGAAAAGAGGAGTAAGTTTAATATAAGTGGCCTAGAGAATGGACATCGGGATAATCAACCACCCGCAGAAAAGTGTGAATTTACCAATACAGCGTCATTTCCAAGTACTTTTGTCAAATTCCAGAGAGAGAAATGGGGTTTAATTTATTTCAAGAGTATCATTTCATTAATTTCGGCTTAAACTTTGGATCAAAGCATACAAATAAACCTGTTAATGTTTGGGGGTTTGCATACACAACCAAGTTTCTTTGTCAACTTACCCTCAGGTTTCTGAAAGTTTAAACTTTGAAAAATACACACTAGATAAATAGAATGGTCAGTTACTACTTACCCATAAATTCTTTAGGAACTTTATTTATATGTATAGTTATATACCAACCAGGCTGAAAATAATTTAATACAAGCATTATAATTCTCTTCTATTATTACCATAAATTTTAATCCAAATTTTGATTTTTATATAAATACAATACCAATGATACTAACCAAAGCACCATCATCATTTTCTTGATTTAAAACTTTCTTGCGTGTCATTTTAAATTTATCAAATTGAAATATTCTACTATAATCTGATGGAAGATTTTCTTTAGGATCCCAAGGAGATGTACGAAAACTCTTTAGTCCTCGATACCTGAAAAAAAGAAAAGGTAACCAAATCTCCATTAAAATTGGGTTGAGACAATCTCAGACAATAAATTTCGAAGAAAGCAACAAATATTGCCTCCATCTTGTGTCAACAGATCTCAGAATGAAATAGGCTCCATTACACAGATTTTACAATCAGATATCATGGCTCCAAAAGTAACAGTGAACCTTATCAATAATTTACAGGGCCTATAAGTCTTAGTATAAAGCTGGATTTACTGGAATAGTCATTATAATATATAAATCAGTATAAAATCAAGCAACCAGTTTGTTGTCTTTGTTCAGTTGTTCAGTCATCCTGTACTGTCTATAAGATTATCAAACTGTTTAAAGAATATCTGCTTTACTAATGTATGGTCAATCATATACACACAACATATATTATATATCCACTTTTCCAAGTCATTGAAAGTTACCTGGCAAATCTGGTTCTAGCAGGAATATCCATAGGTGTGTCTACTTCATCCGGAAACATAGCATGTTGTCTTTCTTCTTTTAACTTTTCTAACCTTAACAATTCGAAATAATACAATTAGTGGTTGCAATTATCTGAGAAAGCAATAATATGGGAGGGGGGAAGGGTGTAATAACATGAATGGGGGGGGGGGGTGTTAAGGAGGATTCTGTTGTCGATGTCTGAGGTCTTTTGTCCAGAATGCCATGCTGAGAAGTTGGGTATTACATGGTCATTTGGATGGAAAAAAAAATTACATGCACTATTGTTTATGATTGAAATGCATTTAAAAGGAAGGAAACACAAAATTTTCTTCTCAAGAATATGAGACTATGACTTGTGGAATCTATAGTATTGTCATTTCTACACTCAATCCTACTTTGTTTCTAATGCGCCAGAAACAAACCATTAAAAACTGTTAAAAATATAACATACACTCGTATTTCTTCATCCATATCCATATTAGCATCATATTTCTCATCATCATTATTCTCTGTAACTGTCATCTATAATAACAAAAATATAAAATACAAATTTAAGATTGTAACGCAATAACCTTTCACTGAAAATCAAGCTGGTGGATGGAAATATCTCTGAAACAGTGAAAGAGCAATACTGGGTCTCAATGATACAGTTGAGGTAGCACATGGTAAAAAAGAATCCTTGAAGAAATAAATGATAAAAAATAGTCCTGACAGGATTGTGTTAACCAGTGGTTTCCAGACAAGATATGTCCACATCTTGCAAGAGATGGATAGAGAATAAGCCAAAAAAAAGCGATTTTTTTGTACAATCAGGGGCCATAATCTGGAAGTTATGGTCTGAAATGCGCGAATATCAAAAGATGTTGCTTTGTGGGTATGGCTATAACTCGGGCAGTAAATAATGGAAATTGTTGAAAATCGATGGGCCTCTTCGTCTTATGATCATAAACTGTGTATAAAGATTTGGCAGTAATTATCAGAAATCTTTGGAATTCAAAATGCTTTTTTTGTCTCATAACTTTAAAACACTGTGTATAAATTTAAATTCAATTGGATATTAACAAGGATTTTCAACGTGATCAAGGGCCATAACTAGTGCTCTGGCACTAATTATCGGAAATTGGTGAAAATCAATAGGTTTCTGCTTCTCATGACCTTAAGCACTGTGTATAAATTTAAAGTCAATCGGATATTAACTTTAGCTTATAGCACGTCCACATACAACCACATTTCAATGTGGGCGTATAAAAATGACAGCAGAGTTTCGTGTTCAGGTCAACTTTTCAAGAAACACTTAATAGAGGTCCTTCCCTTGATCGCGGAAAATACAAACATGTGGAAATGGATAACTTTCGTTGTTATTTTTATTTTTACAAATATAACCAGCGGCTGCCAGGCAGGATACGCCCACATTTTCGAGAGATGGATAGAGAACAAGCTAAAAAGAAAGCGATTTTTCGTACAATCAGGGGCCATAATTCAGGAAGTTACGGTCCGATATGCACCAATATCGAAAGGAACCGAGATCTTTGGATTATAAACTTACATTTCAAGTTTCAACAAAATCGGATAAAAATTGTGACCTCTATAGGGTCCACAACCTTGATATACCATATTTTTACGCTATTTGAGAACGAATGGCGCCCATTTTTCTGTCAATTTTGGGCCAATTTTCATGAAATTCAAACTCATTCATCCTTAGGGTGTAACGGTGATATAATAATATGTTTTTTTAAATCGGATAAAAATTATGATCTCTAAAGGGTCCACAACCTAAAATGCGATTTTTCGTACAATCAGGGGCCATAATTCAGGAAGTTACGGTCCGTAAGCGCGAATATCAAAAGGAACTGAGATCTTTGGGTTATAAACTTACATTTCAAGTTTCAAAAAAATCGGATAAAAATTGTGACCTCTATAGGGTCCACAAGCTAAAAATGTGATTTTTCGTACAATAAGGGGCCATAATCTATGAAGTTTCGATCCAATACATGCCAATATCGAAAGCAGCCAAGATCTTTTGGGGATAAACCTATATTTCAAGTTTCGTCAATATCGGATAAGAATTGTGACCTGTAGAGAGTCCACAAACAATTGTGGACGGACGGACGTCCAGGGGCGACGGCATAATACGTCCACATCAAAATGTGGGCGTATAAAAATGTGTAATACAGCACATGTTTGATGATGCAGCGGTATCTGAGAACCAGAATATTTTTTTTTTTTCGTGGCTTATTTAAGGTGATACAGTTGAACGGTTTTTAAAATCAAATAACCAGCGGTAGCCAGGCAAGATATGCCCACATTTTGCATAAGAGGGATAGAGAACAAGCTAAAAACAAAAGCAATTTTTTATACAATCAGGGACCATAATCCAGAAAGTTATGGTCTGAAATGTGCAAATATCGAAAGGGGCTCCGAACTTTGGGATATAAAGATATATTTTAAGTTTCATCAAAATTAGATGAAAATTGTGACCTCTTAGAGTGTCCATAAGGTAAAAACGTGATTTTTCATACATTCAGGGGCCATAATCCATGAAGTTATGGTCCAATACATGCCAATATCAAAATTTCGTCAAAATCAGATAAAAATTGTAACCTGTAGAGTGTCCACAAACAAAATGTTGGTGTATAAAATTTGTTTCTATTGATTGGAAGTTTCAGAAACAAATATGAATGGACGTCCAGGCGGACAGTGGCGACAGCATATATATAATATGTCCACATAAAAATGTGGGTGTATAAAAACAAGTTGTATTGAACATGATTCAAAGTGAGAAAACAGTATGGTTATAATCTACAATACCGTTTCAAATTCTTCATCATCTTCATTTCTCTCTTCATCAGAATCAACCGTTTCCATAGCATCCTTAAACTCATCAACATCACTATCATCATCTTCTTCATCATCATCTTCCTTTTTATCATTCTATTAATGAAACATTATAAAACAAAACTTGCATAAATTGGTCTAAACTTCTGCTTAACTAGCATTCATGACTACTCTAAATGTCATAGCAGTTAAGTCATTTTTATGGCTAAAATGTCCCAGAGTATTAAACTATTTGAACTTTATATTAGTAAATTTCCTGTATTTTTAAGTGACAGTTCATTTAAATATTACGTACATGTTCTTCAACTTCATCATCATCAACAATCCATGTAGCTTGGTATTCTGATGTACCTTTTGGTACTCTTTTTAAAATTTTATTCTTGGCTTGGGCTTCAGCTGTTCGATAAAATGCATATTTTTATAAATTACCTATCAATACTTCATTTATTCATTTTACAATTATTTTTACACTCTTCAAAGAAAATCAGCAGGCGGATGGTCAGACGAACCTTAATAGTCCCCAGCTTTCTCCAAACAGCACAGATAAAAAGTAAAATTTAAATACTGAATTTATGAATGTGTGTAATTTGGTGTCAGTAGAATTGGAATATAGTGTGTTTCTGTGTGCAGTATGACTCAAATGTACAGAACAATCTGTCAAATTTAAATAATAGAATTCACAAAACAATAAAATTGCTATTGAATTTGTGGAATTTGCTCAAGTGCTTTGAAACAATTCCTACCTTCTGCTAATTCTTCGTCTGTCGGCCATGTTTGTTCACCTTCCATAGGATCCGGAATGACTTCGGTTTCTAATGATTCTTGTTGTTTAGGATCAACTTTATCTAAAACATGGACGGTTTCTTTTTCCATGTCTACATCCTTTTCAAAATAAACATAAATTATTGATTGAAATGCTCGAGTATTCAATATCAGCTCTTGAACTGCATCAACTTATAATATATATATATTCACAATATTCTTCTGTCATTCAGGAAAAATTTCCAGCCCATGTAATTACGCTACGTTCCGACAGATACTAAAGAAAGACCATTCAGAATGACAGGTCAACTCTTACAGTAAGCTTACAAACATTACAAACTAGAATAAATAATACTCATAAATACAGACCCCTGTTGATTTATTTTTGTATTTTCTAGGTTGAAGAGGATATGGATCTGTTGCCGAGTCTATTTGGTTCATCTGAAAATCACCCCATCCTGGAAGATGTACTAAACCATTTACATTCAGAGTTCTGCCTCTTAAATATCCTGTTACCTTCAAAACTCCAAACTGACTCTATAGGAAAAGAATAGCTGCATGTAAATGTATATGATATTGCTTAGAGCCTCAACATGTCAGAATAAAAGTTAAAGATTGAATATGGTATATTATTAGTCAAATGATTATTAAATTGATAAATTTAACTTAGTTTCTGAATATCACTGGAGGGATTTTGAATGTCTTACAAACTACAATATTGAATTTCAATCCAAAAATGGTTCCAATTTGTTCAATATTTGCAAAGATATAATCAATTTGAAAAACTGTCAACATTCCACATCCTCTGTAGTTGATATAAACAGGATATGGTCAAAACAAGCTATTGCCACCTATACTGAAATCTTTTGTTTGACCTCTTTTTAATCCATCTATTGTTTTCTTAATTATATGTTAAATCATCGATTTGAGAACAATTAGATATTAACTGAAAAATGCATATGATGATCAGTTGAATTAAAGTTCATACCTCAGATGATTCTAATTCAAAAGTGATATTTTCAGCCACCATATGTGATCTATTTTCTCTATAATAAACAGGCCGTAATTTTTGATCAGTTAGTTGTCGAACAATCATTAAGGCATCCTGGGGCGTGTCTAATGCATGAAATTTTTCTGATGGAAACCTAGAAATAATAACATCTATAATAAATAACACATTCAAGCACTGTGTTGTACGATGTATTGAAAATTGCAAACATGCAAATATGGTGTGTTTGAGTAAGTAAAGCATTACAATCATTCCTACCTTTTTTCAATGGTATTTTGAAGACTTTTTCTAGCTTCACTTTGCTTTTTAACAGCCAGATTTTTAAATCCCTGAAAGAAAGATTGGATCTTTAGTTTAAAAGTGAAATGCTTATTTCTCAATTCAATGTAATGAGTTAACTACAAACTGTGTAGTACCTTCTATAATCTGGATGAACTTTCTCGGCCAATGCATGGATCGAACACCTGACCTCCAGGCTAGCGAGCCAGGGTCTTACCCATTTAACCACTGTGATCCCCTAGAACGTTCACATGGTTCAACAAAGTGAAACAAGGACCATAACTCTAGAAGTAATTGACTGAAATTGTTGAAATTAAAAAGACTTCGTCTCACTAATGTAAACAATATATATAAATTTCCAACTAGTCATATAATAAATGTAGTCTGTAGAGTGTTCACAGGAAATTGTGGATGACGCACTGACAGACGAACGTGACAGAAATATACAACCACATATTTGAGCGTATAAAATCTGCTCAAATGCAGTGAGAGACTTTAATTGTACATTACTAAGTCAGGTCATTTGAAGTACTATTTCTGTGAACATTATTATACTTACTGGACAAGCTAATGTGACAGCTGGTAAACCTTGACCAAATAAACAGCTGAGACAATATTCTCCATAATCATCAATACCATCTTGTGGTGATATTAATAATAACAATGTATCAGCAACTTTAACTGCATCTAAAAGAGCATTCAGGTTACCATATTCAGGAATAAAAAAAGATGCTCGTTTCTTAAATCTTGGAATCCTGTAATATTCAAAGCACATATTCAAAAATATCTTGGAAGTTTAATCGGCAACTTAAATTATTTTATCATATTTGTTACCAAGAGAAACAATGGTATGGTCTGCCAGGCAGTTCCCATTGCACACTACCATCCAACCTTGAAAAAAAGACAGGAATTAAATGAACCCAATTCATGTGTCAAGCTCACAATTTTTAAAAATCTATGATATGCAATCTCGAAATAACCTCATTTTATAGAGCGGTAGTCCAGGGCGTTAACCAACATGCAGGCCCCAAAATTTCCCACGAACGATACCAATCGGTTACGTGCTGTCATGCCAGCTCAAAAACATGCGACCGATTTCCAGGTTATGCAAATTGAAATATCGGCTATGTTAACAAATTTCATTTCCTTTTTTAAACTGTGATATGATTAAAAGGTTCTTACGTAAAATGTGTAATTCCTTGTTCATTTCTTTTCACTATTAATTCATCATCACAGGTTTTTAAACATTCTAGACATGAGTCAGTATTGACATCTCTGTGTAAAGAAACTATGACCTGAAATAACCAAGTACAAAACAAAAATAAACCCAAAATGCAGCTGTTGGTACTTTCACAATCATATTATTATTATAAATGGTTAGACAGTAATGAAATCTGTGGTCACAGTAGCTAATGGATAGAAAAATTAAAGGGGCATTATGTAAGGTTAGATAAAGAGCTGATGGTTCTCACTATAATAGTTTAAAAAATAGTCAAATTACTTCACTCTGAGTCAAGTTTTCGATGTTAGAAGAACAGTGTAGCCTTGATTGTCATTGCTACCAGTGTTAGGATAACAGTCACGATTATCCATTTTTAACCTACTTAAAATTGGAGCCATCCAATGGTATCGTGAGTTGATTATGGTCTTGTCGTGTTAATTAATGTCTAATTAATAATTCATATAACATTTAAGGCCCAAGGAAAAACCTTCAATATGCAGATTTAGCTCTTGAATAATGCCTGTTTAAAAAGCTTATTCATTTAAATGAGATAAGACAATAAATATCAATATAAATAATATGTATGTTTTACTGTAGCATCTACAGTGCTCACAAGAATTTGGAAGATTGATGGACTGACAGACAGGGGTGACACCAATGTAGGACTCTACCTAAATGTAACCATATAAAAACAAGCCAACAGTGAGGCTGATGTCCCCCGCCGAAATAGGAAAATAATTAGAGGACACATATAAATTTATCACAAATTATCTTTTACAAAGTATTGAACAATCGTAGGAGAGTTATTGTTTTCCAAAGTCTCAACCAATCAAATTGCGTATCGCTCTGCTTACCCTGAGCAGAAAATGCTCATTATCAAACTTAGTCAAGGTATTACTGTAATGAAACTATACACCAAGTTTCATCAATCTCACTTAATTAGAACTAAAGTTATCGTGTCCCAAAGCATCAACCAATCAAATTGCTTATCTCTGCTTACCCTAAGCGGAAAATGCTCATCTTCGAACTCCATCAAGGCACTGACCTAATCAACACATACACCAAGTTTGAACATTCTAGCTCAATTAGGAAGAGAGTTATCGTGCCCCAAAGTATCAACCAATCAAATTGCTTATCTCTGCTTACCCTAAGCGGAAAATGCTCATCTTCGAACTCCATCAAGGCATTGACCTAATAAACACATACACCAAGTTTGAACATTCTAGCTCAATTAAAAGTTATCGTGTCCCAAAGCATCAACCAATCAAATTGCTTATCTCTGCTTACCCTAAGCGGAAAATGCTCATCTTCGAACTCCATCAAGGCATTGACCTAATCAACACATACACCAAGTTTGAACATTCTAGCCCAATTAGGAAGAGAGTTATCGTGTCCCAAAGCATCAACCAATCAAATTGCTTATCTCTGCTTACCCTAAGCGGAAAATGCTCATCTTCGAACTCCATCAAGGCATTGACCTAATAAACACATACACCAAGTTTGAACATTCTAGCTCAATTAGGAAGAGAGTTATTGTGTCCCAAAAAGTGTGACGGACAGACAGACGGACAGACAGACGGACGGACAGACGGACAGACAGACGGACGAACCCATTTTAATAGTCCCCTGCTTTCTTCGAAAGGCGGGGGACAATAAAATCTATTTCATAATGTGATTATTGTACTTACCACAAATGTTGGTGGGGTGCCTGATGTTCCTCTCTGTCTTTTTTTTTCAAATGCTTCTTCTCTTTTCTGCTTACGTAAGACTGCAGACTTGAAAAATGTAATTTGTTAAAATAATATTAATAAGCAAGTCATTTTGTTCTACATGTATGTAAGTTTTAATTTCTTGATATTCTGTGACAAAAGTCATTTTATAATTATTTATTTAAATCATTTTTATCCAATTGAAACATATAGGCCCTACTTTGTTTTGTAATTTTACGAGAATCAAATTCAATTACCTGATTTTTTCTTTCCGTTTTCTTCATAAAAAAACTATTTTTTTTACTCAACGTCTTTAGATTCACACGTCCTGGTAAATAATATAAGAAAGGCTTAAAGACATACATAATAATTAACCACTAAATTACTTTATTCATCAAGAAAATTGCATGTTTACCTTCATTTCCTGTCCTCTAAAAAGGAAATGTCATGATTATCTTAATGTTGTGTAAATTTCACTAGTAGCCTAAATGTACCTCTATAACTGAATTTTAAATGAATTCATCAGCATATAATGCTTTTTTTTAAATATATTACTTTTGTCTATTTTTCAATAAATTCATCAGTGTGTCATCCATGTGCTGTAGTTGATGACTAAAGCATTCTTTGCTTATGCAAAGTCAAAACCAAAGTTAGTGAGGGTATTGGTGAACGTAGCTCCGGGCTGAGGAACGGCCCCATCCTTGCTCCCGACCTAGACATTCCCTTTTCTGTAGTGTTTTCACTCAGGAACGGACAGAAGTCATACCGGAGACAGAGAAAAAAGATGCTGGCGTTTTCTTGGGTGAAGTGTCCTTCTCAAAGGTGACAGTGCTAAAGAAGTTGAAGAACTTAAATCCCTCTAAGTCTCAAGGACCTGACGGATTATACCCATGTGTTCTCAAGGAACTAGCCGACCAGTTAGCGGAGTCATTAGCCATACTAATCCAGAAGTCGCTCTCTGAGGGCAAAATACCCAGTGCTTGGAAAGATTCCAATGTAACGCCTTTTTTTAAGAAAGGGGAAAAATGGTCACCAGTGGCGAGCTGAGTGCCGCAAGGCAGCTGTCTAAGGTCCGTTTTGTTTGCGATATACATCAATGACTTGCCAAGTATTGTGAAATCGCTGTGTGAGATGTACGCTGATGACACCAAAGTTTTCTCTCAGGTAGACAAATATGAGTTCATAACGCAGCTCCAATCGGATCTGGACAGTCCTATAGCGTGGGCCGACACATGGCAACTACGTTTCAGTGCGGACAAATGTCACATACTTCACTTAGGTCACAATAATCCCCACCATATGTACATGTACTGCATGAAGAAACATGACTCGGACGATGTAGTGACACTAGCAACCTCTAAGGTTGAAAAAGATCTCAGTGTGTTAATAGACAACAAATTCAAGTTTTCCGGTCACATTCAAGCTCAAGTGAACAAAGCAAATCGGCTTGTAGGCCACATTCGCAGATCATATACATATTTAGATAAGGACTGCTTCAAGATGCTTTTTGTCGCACTAGGTGGAACACCCTGCCATCATCAGTCCTTGACTCCTCATCCCTGTAGACCTCCGGCTACTTAGGGTTAGGGTTAGAAGTCAAAAATAGCCGGGTCAACGTACTAGGCCCAAATTTGCTGCAAAACTGGAGTGAGCTTACTGTCATATAGATACTATTTAATTTGTCAATATGTTGTAATACTCCAGTTTCTTCTTTTTGGAAGAAAGGGGGATGTCGTATTGATCCTCTCTCTACTGGATGATCAATATTGTAATATAAGTCATGTGAGACGGGAGTTATCTGCCCCTGTCGACGCTTCACTGTAATATATAGATTGAAGTTAATAAAAACAGACACACATACTCCGGAGTGTGCTTGCTTGAAGTGGAGGCAGACCACCATTAATTTCCCCATTGACTTCAATGTTAATTCTGGCCTCTTTGCCCACCTCCAACTTTTCCCCAAATTTTCGTTGGGCTGAATGCTTTTCACTACAGACAGAGCAACAAATGGTCATGTCTTTGCACTAAAATTTGTATGAGGTTGACCACCAAAATTTTGAGATACACAAACTTGAAGAAGCATACTAAAAACATGTAACTAGTTGCCGTACATATCGCCGTAGCTAACCTGATAACCCTCTTATCCTTCCGCCTCAAAATCATGAATATTTACCAAAACCTGGCAGAAAATGTTAGTTCAAACCCTCTTCGTCCATTCTAGACCAAAAAATCAACACAAATGGGCATGCAAAAGGGGAGAAAAGAGAGAGAGAGAGAATTGCTATAAATAGACGAACTACAATTCGTGGGTACCGAGATGATGAAATTTAATGGTGGTCTGCCTCCTATATGGTTTTATAAGTTCATATATCATCAAAATTCTTTTCTTTATAGCTTCACATTTATTTTTGCAACATTATTATAATATAGAATCAGAAAAAAATAATTACTGCAGAAATGGTGACCCTTTAAAGTTATGTAGTGTTTTGTATACCGGATTGCAGCTCAGGTCCATGGGCCTTTTGTTCTAGAATTGAAGATTCTTTCTTAATTTTGTCGAAATGTGAGTTCTGCGAAAAGATTTAAAAAGTTTCAGACAAGTCACATCAAAAATATTCAAAATATTGGAATATTTTTCAAAAATTGACTTTCTTTTACCTTTTTCTACAAAATGGTCCATTTTTGACACTTTGTATGCCTCAAAATGCTAATATTTCCCTATTTCTGGGAAAGTCTGAGATGAAAAGCATTTATTTCTAGAAACCTTGGCCGGTATACAGGAAGACAAGCTGCAAATTTGTTGCATTGAAGGTAACTTTAAGGAACTATAGTGAAACCTGTAAGCCCACCCCCTAAAAATGTTGGTGTGGTAACAAATCCCACTTGTGTCCACATAAGTAATACTGTTGATGGAATATGGCTAAAAGCCATGTTCTTCTATCCCTGGCTTATATACATACATATAAACACAGTTTGTTATAAGAAGTATGAATTATTTATTAAAATATGGATTGATAAATGTAAAATAAATGCTGTATTTAGGTGACAACCAGCCACTCTAATAAAAGGGTCGCAAAGCACTATTTTTTTTTAAAAAATAGGAATATTTCAGTTTTTAAAATACTTTAACAATCAGAGGTATCCTTGAAATTACATAGTGTAAATATTATGTGGAAGCAAGTTGTTTTAATCTTTACATCAATATCCTGACAAAATGAGATGGAAAAAGGGAGTTCTGACATAATTCAAAGCATAAAAGGGGTATGAAAAGGCTATTAATTAATATTTTATTGCCCTGTAAGTGCCACATTTTCAAAGATCACCACAAATAATAGATTTACATTCAAAATGTAAAACATTAAGCTGCAAAAAACACATCTACAACATATCCATTTTGGGGTGTGGACTCATTTGGAAGAAATGTCATAGGATTACATGTTTGACCATAAACAAAAAGTCTTAGAAATCCTTGAAATCTTATATGTAACTATTTGTTTGTGTCAAATAAAATGCTCGGTTACAATTCAAGCACAAAATCAGATTACTGCTAATTTGGAGTCAACAAATGTTCAATTGAATATCCAAATATCATCTTCAAGAAAAGGGGTGGGGTGGGGAGGGTGAGCCAGTCTAAATGAAATGAAGACAGAGAAATTTCCCTGCAAACACATAGATTTTACTTTCTCGAGAAGGGAAATGCAACAATTTCAGGTTTTGAAAGATTAAAATTGTGTTAAGCCTGAGGAAAACAGCAGCAAAATGCAGTTCACTCATGTTTTGAAAATTCTAACACACCTAAGCAGAACATAATTAGACTAAATTTCTTAATTTTTAAATTTTTGACAAACACATGAATACTTTTTCAATATCTGACAAACACATGGATCCTTGCCAAGTTATTTAACAATGAAAATAAAGACATGCAAAACATTTTGGTTCATTTTACAACAGATGAATTATTAAAATTTTGACAGCAATATTGGGGGTAATCTGAAGAATTTCAGACAATTTATCATGATTTTTAGGCAAAATTGAGTGAAATTATGATACTTTCTTCCCGTCTAACAATTATAATGCAGAAAAAGTAAAAATCATACATTAAAATATTTTCCACTAATTTTGAAAAGTAAATAAACACTGAAAATCACAAAATTTTGACTAAAATCAAAATTTCCCCTCCCAAATTTGTCAAATATTTTTGAAATTTTACCATTTCACATTTTTTACTATCAAAATGCCATATATCACATTTTCTGACAATTTGGAGATCATATCATCAAATTTAGGCCTTTCATCCACTGTCAGGTTGTTTTCATATAGGAGGCAGACCACCATTAATTTCCCCATTGACTTCAATGTTAATTCTGGCCTCTTTGCCCACCTCCAACTTTTCCCCAAATTTTCGTTGGGCTGAATGCTTTTCACTACAGACAGAGGAACAAATGGTCATGTCTTTGCACTAAAATTTGTATGAGGTTGACCACCAAAATTTTGAGATACACAAACTTGAAGAAGCATACTAAAAACATGTAACTAGTTGCCGTACATATCGCCGTAGCTAACCTGATAACCCTCTTATCCTTCCGCCTCAAAATCATGAATATTTACCAAAACCTGGCAGAAAATGTTAATTCAAACCCTCTTCGTCCATTCTAGACCAAAAAATCAACACAAATGGGCATGCAAAAGGGGAGAAAAGAGAGAGAGAGAGAATTGCTATAAATAGACGAACTACAATTCGTGGGTACCGAGATGATGAAATTTAATGGTGGTCTGCCTCCTATATGGTTTTATAAGTTCATATATCATCAAAATTCTTTTCTTTATAGCTTCACATTTATTTTTGCAACATTATTATAATATAGAATCAGAAAAAAATAATTACTGCAGAAATGGTGACCCTTTAAAGTTATGTAGTGTTTTGTATACCGGATTGCAGCTCAGGTCCATGGGCCTTTTGTTCTAGAATTGAAGATTCTTTCTTAATTTTGTCGAAATGTGAGTTCTGCGAAAAGATTTAAAAAGTTTCAGACAAGTCACATCAAAAATATTCAAAATATTGGAATATTTTTCAAAAATTGACTTTCTTTTACCTTTTTCTACAAAATGGTCCATTTTTGACACTTTGTATGCCTCAAAATGCTAATATTTCCCTATTTCTGGGAAAGTCTGAGATGAAAAGCATTTATTTCTAGAAACCTTGGCCGGTATACAGGAAGACAAGCTGCAAATTTGTTGCATTGAAGGTAACTTTAAGGAACTATAGTGAAACCTGTAAGCCCACCCCCTAAAAATGTTGGTGTGGTAACAAATCCCACTTGTGTCCACATAAGTAATACTGTTGATGGAATATGGCTAAAAGCCATGTTCTTCTATCCCTGGCTTATATACATACATATAAACACAGTTTGTTATAAGAAGTATGAATTATTTATTAAAATATGGATTGATAAATGTAAAATAAATGCTGTATTTAGGTGACAACCAGCCACTCTAATAAAAGGGTCGCAAAGCACTATTTTTTTTTAAAAAATAGGAATATTTCAGTTTTTAAAATACTTTAACAATCAGAGGTATCCTTGAAATTACATAGTGTAAATATTATGTGGAAGCAAGTTGTTTTAATCTTTACATCAATATCCTGACAAAATGAGATGGAAAAAGGGAGTTCTGACATAATTCAAAGCATAAAAGGGGTATGAAAAGGCTATTAATTAATATTTTATTGCCCTGTAAGTGCCACATTTTCAAAGATCACCACAAATAATAGATTTACATTCAAAATGTAAAACATTAAGCTGCAAAAAACACATCTACAACATATCCATTTTGGGGTGTGGACTCATTTGGAAGAAATGTCATAGGATTACATGTTTGACCATAAACAAAAAGTCTTAGAAATCCTTGAAATCTTATATGTAACTATTTGTTTGTGTCAAATAAAATGCTCGGTTACAATTCAAGCACAAAATCAGATTACTGCTAATTTGGAGTCAACAAATGTTCAATTGAATATCCAAATATCATCTTCAAGAAAAGGGGTGGGGTGGGGAGGGTGAGCCAGTCTAAATGAAATGAAGACAGAGAAATTTCCCTGCAAACACATAGATTTTACTTTCTCGAGAAGGGAAATGCAACAATTTCAGGTTTTGAAAGATTAAAATTGTGTTAAGCCTGAGGAAAACAGCAGCAAAATGCAGTTCACTCATGTTTTGAAAATTCTAACACACCTAAGCAGAACATAATTAGACTAAATTTCTTAATTTTTAAATTTTTGACAAACACATGAATACTTTTTCAATATCTGACAAACACATGGATCCTTGCCAAGTTATTTAACAATGAAAATAAAGACATGCAAAACATTTTGGTTCATTTTACAACAGATGAATTATTAAAATTTTGACAGCAATATTGGGGGTAATCTGAAGAATTTCAGACAATTTATCATGATTTTTAGGCAAAATTGAGTGAAATTATGATACTTTCTTCCCGTCTAACAATTATAATGCAGAAAAAGTAAAAATCATACATTAAAATATTTTCCACTAATTTTGAAAAGTAAATAAACACTGAAAATCACAAAATTTTGACTAAAATCAAAATTTCCCCTCCCAAATTTGTCAAATATTTTTGAAATTTTACCATTTCACATTTTTTACTATCAAAATGCCATATATCACATTTTCTGACAATTTGGAGATCATATCATCAAATTTAGGCCTTTCATCCACTGTCAGGTTGTTTTCATATAGGAGGCAGACCACCATTAATTTCCCCATTGACTTCAATGTTAATTCTGGCCTCTTTGCCCACCTCCAACTTTTCCCCAAATTTTCGTTGGGCTGAATGCTTTTCACTACAGACAGAGGAACAAATGGTCATGTCTTTGCACTAAAATTTGTATGAGGTTGACCACCAAAATTTTGAGATACACAAACTTGAAGAAGCATACTAAAAACATGTAACTAGTTGCCGTACATATCGCCGTAGCTAACCTGATAACCCTCTTATCCTTCCGCCTCAAAATCATGAATATTTACCAAAACCTGGCAGAAAATGTTAATTCAAACCCTCTTCGTCCATTCTAGACCAAAAAATCAACACAAATGGGCATGCAAAAGGGGAGAAAAGAGAGAGAGAGAGAATTGCTATAAATAGACGAACTACAATTCGTGGGTACCGAGATGATGAAATTTAATGGTGGTCTGCCTCCAAGTACGAACATGTCTTGTGTTAATATATAGGGGGGTTTGAGATATGAATATGACCGTCCATGCACGTGCTGATATATAGAAGGCATCTAAAAGGTAGTGATCCCAACACAACATTACCACCCACACTACTCTGCCCACCTTGATGCAAAGTCACTATGATAAGTGCAGTAGTCTAAGAAATCGGTTTAAGTTGAACAGTGCTTCGATCACTAGAAAGGCGCTAGGCCTACTAGATCCTGAACCTGGTATGATATGATTATATGATCAGTCATCACAGTCACAGTGGAACCATTTCTAATCTTAGATAATCTAAGCTCTGACGTGAGATTATTATCATCATGTGATAGTTTATTCCCTGAAAAATTATTTGGTCAACCGTAAAATATATCCAATTTACACACCTTTAGATGCTTTAGCCAATTCTCTTTTACTTTTATGATTACCATGTTTGTGGTTTTTGTTTTTCTGTTTTAAAGGCCCTGGCACATGTTGATGTTGTGATTCGACAGCCATCTTGAACACGTGCTGCAAGCTAACGCAAACCGGTTTCAGTTTTGTTTTGTTTTCAGCAATAGTTTCGCATCTTTTTTCCACCTTTCGGAAACTATCATTGATGTTTTTATTACTCTATTGTTTTTTTTCGTATTCAATTTTATTAAAAATTAATGAAACTAAGGGATGTTTATCTTTCATTTTACGTTTTAGTTTGCTAAGTCTTGTTTTTAAACGAAACTAAAATTTTCACATCAATAAAAAAAGACGTGATAACCTAGACTTGTGTGGTCCTACTTGATTCGTTAAAAAGTTACAATCTGTATCTCAGAGAATTACGGAAGTCTTCTTCTAATATCTCTGTAAAAGATGACTGCCTTCAACACCTGCCGTCACAGCACCCTGCGTCATTCATTGGCTGAATGGCCCGAGCATTGTTTACATAAGACGTTACTGCTTCGGGCAGAATGCTGCCTTTTAGTCATTTTAGTACCCATTTACACTAAATAGGAAATAATTTTTACCTACATACATATACGTCAAACGTCTTTATTTATTTTTCTAATACATCAAAAAATGTTTTAGAATTTAATTTGTCGTTGGAAAAAAGTTAATATTTGAGACTCATTAAGTCGCATTGATGTCATCCTTATCAGTGATTGTAGCGGCCTTGCGAATGTTCACTGCTGAAAAAGTTAAAGATTCTGGATATTTATAGGCGCTCCACAAAATAACAATTAATAATTCGGGGGATAATAGCAATAATAAACATTTCCATAGTTTGGTATTGCGCATCAAGATATGCGTGTGTTATTAGGAGCAATGTTAAAAACTTAAGTTGATGAAAGAACGTATATACATGTATATTCCGGATAATTAGTCAAATACATAGTGTTATATCTTTCTTAGTCTTATCATGGTCATGATTCATAGTCTATGTCAAATATCAAGTCAATTTCTGATTTGTGCTACAATAATTAATACCCTCATATTCAATTCCTCCATATAATTATTATGTAAACGGATATAAATCTACGCCCCTTCGTTTATCATAACAAAACATGCTAGATAAAATTGACCCGATAAAAACAAACACTGCCAAAATTATTGACATGCAAGTGTCATTCTGACAGATGCGTCATATAGCTAAATATAGAATCACGTAGATATCCGTTACAAACCGCTTTGTGTGAGTAACAATCAAGTACAACATTTTATACAGACGCGGGAATGTTCTGCACAATACTGGATCTTCAATGAGTTACTTTCTATTTTTCACTCGGCAACCGGCTGCAGATTTCACTCGGCCAACTTCGGTTACTCCTCTACACCAAACCATGTTTCCAAACAGAGTTATCTTTCCGTGACCCGCAAATTATATTTTTAACAATGAGTTGAATTCTATAGGAGGTGTTGGAACTCCCGCAAACAGTGCCGGTGGTGCAAGTAAGTTATAAAAATAAATACAACTGACAAAAGGTTAAGGACCACCTTAAAGTAAAACAAGACAGGAATATTTGGTCATTTAAGTAATAGATATTTTTTAATTGAGGATTTCGAAAAATATAGGAGTCCATTAGATGATCTGGTCAGGAAAAGGATGAGGATTACAGACAAGAGTAGTGATAACCATCGTCATGTGTATCCCTCTCTCACTTGGAGAGAGAGAGAGAAATGGGGTTTAACGTCCACTCGACTAACATATGGTTCAATTTTATTTCCATAATTCGCTTGCGCGTAGGGATCTTTAGCTGTGGGAGGAAACCGGAGGACCTGGAGGAAACCCACGAGGTTGGACAGTCGACCCTACTCCTTGTCACGTACAACCGGGGATTCGAAACCACGCCAGTTGACTCAATGACAGACTTTATGATACAGCTAACCATTCAGCCATCCAACCCCCCCCCCCCTCTCTCACTTGGATCACGTCCTCAACACCTCTTGTTTGATTAGTACCATGGTACCAAAGGAACCTGATACTATTCTTCTTGGAGTGGCAAGACTTATGCTGGAAGTATTTTGTGATGGATATTACATGGTTCCAAATAAAAACCATCTGAATTTATTGTTGATGGTTAAATATCAAACAGACCTCATTTTAAACGGTGGTGCTTATCTTTTTGACACACATAATTTTTACCTGTACTACTGCTCAAAAGCTTTTAATTTTGTTTTAAAATTCTGTTAATTCGTTGATAAATCACGTTATTCTATTCTCTAGTCATGGTAGTCAGTTAAACTTGAAACCTGTATGTTTAAGTTGTAACCACTGTAAAAAGGATGGCTGTAGAAGAATCATGTTCGTTCTGAATCTAAATGTAAAACCTATTCCCCCCCCCCCTCCCCAGCCGCTGATCAACAGAAATGAGCAAAGTGAACCTGGGCACTAAACAATATTCAGAATACAAGTTATTTAGAAGTTTATTTTGTTTGTGGCTTGATAAATACAAGAGAACACTTTTCAAGACGTCGTCAGAAATGAACTGTGAAAAAACTTGTATTTAATACACCGGTATATTAGTCATGGTTTATTCAATACAGTTACTAAATGCAGCTTTAACAAACTACATTTTTTAATGGTTTATTTACAGAGAAGAAATGGGAAACATTACCAGGCTGCCAGACACGCCCCATTGATAACAAAGGTCTGCCTGCTGCCGCTGTACACAAAACACCCAACCCAGAACCAATCGATGCCACAAAATTGCCGCTAGCAGAAAAAATTCGACGACTTTCAATGTTTTTACGAAGTGAAAAAAAAGTAATCAATGAAATTATGGTGAGGTTTTATTTATTAAAGATACATTATGGGAGATGGAGATAAGATAACGAGTTAGCAGTTCTCACTATAATAGTTAAAAACTACATAATGTAAAGGGAATTTGCTGAAAATGTCAGTCAAATTGGTCCACTATGAACCGAAAACTAAGCGGATGAAAGTTTCGCCTAGCCTCGAAACTAATAGTCTCGATTGTTAATTGTTGTGATTTAATTATCAATGAGCGATAGCAGCATATAGAATTGTAATCCAGTCGACATCGAAGGCTAGCCTTGACATCGGGAGTTTATTATGGTCTGGATAAGTTAATTAATGTCTAATTAATAATTTAGATAAGATTTCAGGCCTAAAGAAAGACCTGAAATTGACAGGTTTAGCTCTTGCATAATGCATGTTTAATATTTTTCACAATAATCTCATTAAAAACACAGATTCTGCTTTATTTTTATTTTTATTTTTATTCAAGCATGTATTACGTATAAAATTCTTTTATTTGCCCATCTACATAAGACCAGTTGGGCGAGTTTGGGTGGTCGAAGCGTTAATGCGTCATTACCCGCTTGTACGTGACAAGGAGTAGGGTCGTCTGTTCAACCTCGTGCGTTTTCTCCATGTCCTCAGGGTTTCCTTCCACTGCTAAAGACCCCTAATGAAATAAAATGAACTATATGTTAGTCCCGAAATGACCTAGTGTCGAGTGAACAATAAAGCCCATTTTCCTCTCTTTCCCATTAAATCCTATTTTATTTCATTTTAGTTGTTTGAGAATTCTCTGATGAGTTGTAAAGTTGGAATTTGACCAGATTTTTTGATCGATGGCATGGTACAAGGAAAGAACGGATCCTTTTTCACTGGCCGACTTAATCTGGGTGGTGTGTTCCTAGCCAGAGCTATCGGCATCAACAAGAAAGAAATCAAACTGTCATGTTTCAAGAAGGCGGTGGAACTTTATCGTACCCTTCCTGTCACTGAAATTTTGAACCAGGATGATATGACCCCAAAAGTTATCAAGGAGAAACTGGAGAATTTTAACTCGACCGTTGCTAAGATGGAGAAAGAAACAATTGCAGAGTTACCCCCACCATCTATTTTGAAACAGATCCAAGATATTCTAACCAATCCTAAATATGCTTCAACCAATTCAGTCAGCAAAATGGAGTTGGCGGCCTCTGTGGCTAAATGTCGAGTCCGTTGTCGATATGATGTAGAGAGTTGTAAAGCTGAATCAGGGAAAGTTTATCATAAGGGAATGTACTTTATTGACAACATACTACAAGGTGCAGGTGTTTCAGTTTCCAAAAAAACTGCTAAGTCATTGTGTTATAATATGGTGGTTGAACGACTGACCACCATGAATGTTGAACATGGCAACATCTTAGATGGTGTCGAACAGTCTGTCATAACAGAAGCAGAAGCACAGGTTCAGAGCACTTTGGTAAAGGCAGCACCAAATCCTAGGGCATTTGATCTCCGTGAACAGTTTGTCAAAATGAACGAACTTAGCAGTGCCACGCATCCTGCATCCATCATTACTGTCTTGGATGGAATTTTCAACGATGTAAAATTGACGCCCATTTGTCTATACCGTCGTAGCATGAACACAGAAATAGAAAAGGAGAAAATTTTCTGTAACCTCTATCTAGCTGGTCATCTCATCATGATTGGTGAAGCAGAGAACCGAACAGATGCCCAAGCAGACGCTTACTCTAAAGCCCGATAGGTTTCACGAACTGTGACCCCGAGTTCATCCTCCCCCAACACAGTAAACTTCAACCACACGACCAAGCAGCAACAGATGTTATCGACTTTCGTGTCAAGGGCAACTGCATTTTGGAAGATAACTGTTCGAATCTTCATCGCTTACAATGGACCCGAAAACCTATATCAACACTACCAGCCAAGGATATCGTTGTCTTTGAGGACGTCAGTTGGATAGTAGATCGTAAAGTTCAAGGTTTCTATATTTTACAACATTCATGTTTTGTCAACAATATGTTGTTGGAATGGGAGTTTTTTGACAATGATGATCGTGTATTCAGGTAAGTTGCCTTAAGGCCTAGTCTGGTCTCCCGGCCATAATCTTAAGGCCTAGTCTTGTGTCTTCCGGTCTCAACTGTAAGGCTTAGTCTTGTATCTTCTGGCCTCAACTGTAAGGCCTAGTCTTGTGTCTCTTAAGACCTAGTCTTGAATCTCTTAAGACCTACTGTAGTCTTGCGTCTTCCGGCCTTAACTGTAAGACTTAGGCTGTGTTTCCTGGCCTTAGCCTTCAAGCCAGAA